GAAATCGGTTATTTTTTCGGTAAGAAATTCTTCGCCAGACACTGAAGCTGCCAAAACTCACGTGAGAGCTTCGATATTGAACTTTGAGCCAGCGTCCTTTTGAAAAAAAACGAACTATAATTAGAGACGCTTTTATAGATGGCAGTTTTTTTTCGTATGGAGACAGCGTTTAGGATTTGCAAAAGTTGAAAAAGTTACCCCGGCCGCGCCGGGGTCGGCTGAAAGTTACCCCGGCCACGGCCGGGGTGGCCGGGGCAGGTTCTCCACCCATGCATGCAGGGTCCAAAATGCAGAATTTATGCGCCGAACCTTGCTAGGAATGTAAAAATCACAAGTCAAAGTGCTTAGGATATGGGATATAGGGCCTTAAAATGCATTTTGCACATCTCAAAACAGTCCTGCGACCGCAAATGTGGCTGCATCAGAGTCATAGCGTAAACGATATAAATGACGACTTGTTCATAAACTTTCATGAACTGTTCATGAACAGATGACCTTGATTGGAGGGATTCGTACACTATTAACCCGCGCCCCGTAGGGCTATTGGCGGACCCTGCCAGCCGTATGGGGGGCCGTTTTGGCCCCCCCCCTAAGATCTCAGAAAGTTACCGTCCGATTTTTAAAATTCAAAAGACGTTGGATAGCCCTACTACGGAGCTACCTTGTGACCCAATTTCATTGACCTCGGTCCAATCGATGACGTCACAAATCAAGTCAAAGATCGAATTTTCACCGTTTACAGGCATTTCAAAAAATGTGTCGTAAAATCAAGTAAAAGGCATGTTATTGAAAATCATCGACGGGGGAATTGTTCGTAAGACACATATTTTGCTATTTGGGGTCATTGACATTTGATACCAAGTCAGGTCACTGAGGTCAGGTCACTGAGGTCCGGTCACTGAGGGTCACAATACCGAAAATGTCGTGTGACACATGTTTTAGGGTCCATTTTGCATGACAAATGGGATTATGTGGGTCAGGCAGCCTTTGGGGCCAGTTAAGATTATGTTCTGGCGAAGGTCAGGTCAAGGTCAGGTCAAATTAGGTCACATTTCGAAGTTGATATATTTGCATAAAATTGGTATCGATTCGATGCAGCTCGTCACGGGGAGTCTAAGGGTTGTCTTTGTTTTGCGCTACGTGGTCTAGAATTGCCAAAAATTGAGTTTGAAAATTTGACGTCATCATTTTTGAAGTTTTTTTTTTCGCTATCACTTGGCCAAAAAGAAGAAGTATCAATCTCAAATTTGGTATGTGGATAGAAGGTGGGAGGGACTATCATATATATTCCGGTTTTTCGGAAATTCGAAAAACTTTAGGAATGTTCCAGCTATTATATCCAAAAAGATTTTTGGGGGTCAAAATTCAAAAACTTCAAAAATCCGAGACAGCAGTTTTATAGCCCTGTTAATTCTACACCTTTTATATTTCATCATTTTTCTGTATCTTCAAAGCTGTAGGCCTGACAGCTCTTCCCGTGAAACCTTTTTTGGGTCGGAAATGGCAGAACATGACGCCATTTTGACGTCATTTGCGGCCAACCTATCATAGTCTCTGGGAAAATGTTTGGTCACAATATGTAAAATTGATGCCCGGAGGGTTCCTGCAAGTTTGGCGACGATATCTGCAGTCATTTAGGAGATATGGACGGAGAAGGACAGGGGGGGGGGGGGGCGTCTCGGCCTCCCTTACGGGGCGCGGGTTATAACTGAACAAACAAACAAACTTTTTTTACGAATTGATCATTAACAAATGTGCAAACAACGAACCCAGCTGATTAAAGACTACAAGCTCCTAAAGCCTGTTTTTAGGTAGGTGAATGGTGAATACAGCACCATTCAGCATTTGTAGTTAGCATTTTCCGGTAGCTTTTAAATAGCTTAGCATTAACTCCAACAAAAAAGAAAGTCCAGAGACTCATATCAACGCTGATAGGTAGGTGATAACTGATAACATCTGAAAAGTCTTGAAATCACAAATTATCACAGACTCGTATCAAAACTCAACGAGAGCCCAAGTAGTACACATAACAAAGGACCCGAGAATGCTAAAGCTCGGCAGACGAACCGCTGCCAGTTCAGATTATAACAATGGGATCAAACGGTCAAAATGATGGCGGAACTTCGTTAGACTGCTTTCCGTCAGATATGGTGGCAGCGGCAGCCTACGGCGTCGGCAGGGCGACATATCGCAGGTATTTGGACGTGCCGCCTCCCACCAGGGCACCCCGCGTTTTTCCTCGACCCTGGATCACACTCCAGAAAGGCTTCTACGCATCCGATGGTGGTTTTGTCGGGGCGTTAAACCCGCTATGGCAATAAATAGCTGCCCAGCCATTCGGCTTCTGAGGTAATGGGAGGACACAGTAGTTGGCTATAAAGGCATCGGCTTTTTCTCGAGGGACTAAAACCCGCCCAAAGCCCGCTCTTTTTATGCTTGTTTCAGTTAAAATTATGGAGGAGCGATTCCCGGAGACTGACATAAAAAGCGGCGTGGCAAGGCAGAATAGCGAGGCAAATGGCATGGATTGTGTGTGTTTTTTTCTCTTTTTTTTTAACAGGCAATTCACCACCAACATTGAAGCGTAGAAAAAGGAGGCAGCTCGATCTCAAATAGTACCAGTAAAACACCTTTTGGGCGAAGAACGAGCGAGCGAGATAGTGAGCTCTGCACGTGCGGAAGGGCGAGAGGATACTTACTTCCAACGGGCTTGTGCAAAGCACCCTTCTAACCGGTTGCTAGCGGTGTGCCAAATTTGAATGCAATCGGCCCAGCCGTTCCTGAGATCTGCAAGCGGCATTCTGCACGTGCGCACGTACAAAATGGGTCCCAACTGACTTTTGCACGGCACCCTACTAACCGGTCCCCAACCGTGTACCAAATTTGAGCGCGATCGGCCCAGCCGTTCTCGAGATCTGGAAACGCCCTCTGCACGTGCGTACGTACGTGCAGTAGCACCCTAACCGCAACATATGGGAATGTATTGCCTGGTGGGTGCCTACTGTAGGTATGCCAAGTTTCAGCGAAATCGCCCCAGTAATTACCGAGTTACTGAAATGGGAACACATTTGACACCTCGTCTTTTTGCATTTTGCACGTGCAGTGGGGTCTCTCACATAGATCAAGAGTATCCGACGTTTGGTGGAAGGGATGCTGCTATCCTACAAAAATTACCGCAAGACCATCACCCAGGCGGCTGCTGATATATGAGCCTCTCAAAAATATACTTTGCAAAACAGCTTGAGCACCCTTGACTTTTCACGTGGCACGTGACATGATCGTCCCTGAAAAGTATCAAGAGTAGGGGAGACCCGGGAGGTATGGGCCGGTTTTGTGAAAAGGCAGTTTTCTTCCAGTGGGAAGTGGTTAGACCCGGTTTTTCACTCTGTGTACGTGAAATTGCCTTTCGCCTGCAAAGTGTGCCCGATATTAGGCATCTGGGATCAACTATTTTGTCTCGAGATAACTTTAAATAAATCATGCGCTTTTTCGATCCATCAAAATGCACCGGGAGGTATGGGCCATGGCCCGGGAGGTATGGGCCAGTGCCATGTTTCATATTCTTCTCTCGATAATGAGAACAATACTTGTAGCTGTTATCTACCTTGATCTCTCTTAGAGCCCAGGAACCGCATAAGTGGCCAACAGCTTACTTCATGGGGGTCACGTGGGCACATATGTATTTTGGTAAACGCATTCATGCTCCATGAAATAAGATAAATAATATTTTTCTGCTCGAATGAAATTTGTAGTTATATTTTCGACCTTGCGCGACAAAAATAAAACTTATTGAAGAGGGCATTCAATGAAAGCATCATTTCATTGATTTAGGATCCACGGGGGTGGGTGGCCCGAACCTCCCGGTTAGGACGCCAGAATGTGCGGAGCGTCTCAGCTCATAATCTTGCAAGAAAACTTCAAATTGTCTATCCAGTCTTAATTTGCATGCTTTAAACTTTATATTACCGATGGTCTGATACCATAAAACGAGCCTGGGTCAAATTTATCACGAATTTTCTGTACGTACCGTATTTTACTCGAAGAGGGTAAAAACGTTTCATCACCGCTCATTGCCAAAGAAGACTGAGGAATTTTTTGGAAATCACGTGGGTTGTATAACGGAATGGCTGCTACCAGTTTGCGCGGTCAAATGTGTAAAAATACGCAACACTTCTTCAAAACTGCGATGGCCCATACCTCCAGGGGGCCCATACCTCCCGGGTTTCCCCTACCTAGTCATTTAAGGGTATAGAAGCCAATGAATATAAGGACTACCCCACAAAAAAAGACCACAGGCCAATCGGTCCAGCGGTTGCTGAGATATGTATTAACCTCTCAAAAGCGCTACAGGCCGGGCCGGGCCGTGCCGCTCACACTGAGATGTTCCCGTTATATTGAAAAGAGTTCGCTTCACTCGCTGCGCTCGCTCGCTCGTAATCAGAAAGCCAAATTTGCGGCACCATCATACTGCCAACCATTCAGCACGCCCAGGCTCTGTCTCAGTCTCAATCGGAGCAAACGCTCTCAACACCTTGTGAAGGACCCGGAACGAATACATCCCGTTTGTCGAGAACTCACTTGTCCGCACACTTTGATGTAGGCGAATTAGCATGTCTTGACGCTAGTTGCTTTCACTGCAAGCTGTTTTGCCTTTACTCAATGATAGAAAGTGTTCAAGAGTTTTAGTTCAGACCACGCGGACTAACTACCTGGAACCTTCAATTCCAGATCTAACTCGTCAATAAAAAATATAAGAATGATAGGAGGGATGCCTTCGCAACGCATACGATATTCATGGTATTAGCAAGCATGTGCCAAGTAATTTGTCAGTTCGTACCCCAGAGCGTCTTTCTCTGAAATGTGCTCTGTGAAGGGGCGGAGTACCGAGCGCCGGCCCTCCTCCGCTCCGCTCGATCGCCGGGTGCTGCTGGCGCCGGTGAGCCGGCAGACCGCCCCTCCACGTGCCAGGGGCGCCTCTCTGCACCGGGCTGGCCCGAGTGGCACAGGCCGGCAGCATGAAGGACGAGCGACGGTCCGTCTCCGCTACGTGCCACTGCAGTGCCACCGGGCCACATTGCGACACCGCCGCCAGTGCGGACGGACGCACACATAGCACACACGGCCCGGGCCGGCCGAGCTCCACCGACCGGCCAATAAACCCGGGGCTGTAAGTATGTACCGCCCCGACCGGACCGTGCGTGGATGGGAGCCGCAGCTCGCGGAGGCCGGTACGGAAACCGGCCACCTGGCGGCCGGCGGCCCAAGCTGCGGGCACGCGCCCGCCAGACGCTTCATCTGGGCGGGCTCGCCGGCAAGTGGGCGCAGTTGGTGTCCATCCGAGCTCCTGTGCACCGGCCACCTCCTCCTCGGTGAGTAGCTCGGCAGGCCGCCTCCCTCCCCCAGAGTAGCTCAGCAGGCCGCCTTCCCCCAGAGTAGCTCGGCAGGCCGCCTCCCTCCCCAGAGTAGCTCGACGGGCCGCCTCCCTCCCCAGAGTAGCTCGGCAGGCCGCTACCCTCCCCCAGAGTAGCTCAGCAGGCCGCCACCCTCCCCAGAGTAGCTCGGCAGGCCGCCTCCCTCCCCCAGAGTAGCTCAGCAGGCCGCCTCCCTCCCCCAGAGTAGCTCAGCAGGCCGCCTCCCTCCCCAGAGTAGCTCGACGGGCCGCCTCCCTCCCCCAGAGTAGCTCAGCAGGCCGCCTCCCCCCAGAGTAGCTCGACGGGCCGCCTCCCTCCCCCAGAGTAGCTCAGCAGGCCGCCTCCCCCCAGAGTAGCTCGACGGGCCGCCTCCCCCCCCCCAGAGTAGCTCGGCAGGCCGCCTCCCTCCCCCAGAGTAGCTCAGCAGGCCGCCCTCCCCCAGAGTAGCTCAGCAGGCCGCCACCCTCCCCAGAGTAGCTCAGCAGGCCGCCTCCCCCCAGAGTAGCTCAGCAGGCCGCCTCCCTCCCCCAGAGTAGCTCGGCAGGCCGCCTCCCTCCCCCAGAGTAGCTCAGCAGGCCGCCACCCTCCCCAGAGTAGCTCAGCAGGCCGCCTCCCTCCCACAGAGTAGCTCAGCAGGCCGCCTCCCCCCCCCCAGAGTAGCTCGGCAGGCCGCCTCCCTCCCCCAGAGTAACTCAGCAGGCCGCCTTCCCCCAGAGTAGCTCGGCAGGCCGCCACCCTCCTCAGAGTAGCTCAGCAGGCCGCCTCCCTACAGAGTAGCTCGGCAGGCCGCCTCCCTCCCCCAGAGTAGCTCAGCAGGCCGCCTTCCCCCAGAGTAGCTCGGCAGGCCGCCACCCTCCTCAGAGTAGCTCGGCAGGCTGCCTCCCCACAGAGTAGCTGTGGAGGCTCCCCGGCACCTTCCCGTGCGTTCATGCCGGTTCCAGCTCTGCGGGCTCCCCTGCCCCTCAGATAAGGTCTCCGTGGGCTCCCCAGCCCACTCCTCCCACCTAGCCCTACCGCCGACATCAGGTCTCCGTGGGCCCCTCCATGTCCTCACAGGAACTCTTCAGGCTCGCGGACCTTTCACAGCAACAGCGACGCCGCACCGGATTGACCGGTGACCTCATCAGCGGGGATCGACCCCCTTCCCCGCGACCTCCCTACTGCTACCGAAGTCATACACGTGTGCGCCGACTGACATGAACAGTGAACACTTCCCTCAGACGCGGGGCGGACCCTCTATATGACAAGGACTGCTAGTGCGGCGGTAAGGGGCAGCGCGTCAGGCCCAAGCTGCCAGCTAGCGCCCGCGTGCCTATTTAAAAAGAAATGTATGCTTGTTTTTTATGTGTCTAGAGTACCTATTCCTGCACCAAAACAGTTTATGTTTTTAATTTTCATCAACAACACCAGTCAGCATAGCGTATCTACAAAAAAATATGGAAACCATTGCTGTTTTACTCGGTCCATATTCAGGTAAACGCCCTTGAAGGCACAATTCACAGTAAAAGAAAGAAAGAAAAATGTTCATCAACGTACATATTCATTGAATGGAGGCAGAAAAATGTTCAAATTCATGTTATGCAGCTTCTAACGCTCATCACACATACGATTATTATGGATAGGTATTCGCAACCCTACACCCCATGCTATACCTAGCACTGGAGTAAAACCAGTGGCTTAAAAACAGCTTGTCGCTTGCTTCAAATAACTCATCCGCATGCAGCTGTGGCCACATTGAGCCGAAAAAAGTGTGCTGAAAAATACCCAGTAAAACCATGTGCACGGCTAGAATTACGTGGATTTCGCGCGGGCGACACACGTTATATTTTCCGTGAATGCATTGCAGGTGATTCCAAAGGGAAATTGATTATTTAGGTTTCAGACACACCATCACTCGGGCCCACATTAGACACTGCAGACCAGCCAACCTTTGTACGAGTCACTAAGTTTGTTAGACTCATTTTGTTTCTTTTTTATGCTTTTATGTTTAATTTTTAATTTTGTATTCATTTTTTTCACATAAGATATCATTTGGGGTAGATATTCTTCAAAATGGTGTGCGTGCCATGACTAAATCTGCAATCTCAAATAGAGAAGTCCGTTTGGAACGGATCATAGCCATTGCTATATAAAATAAATCATATAACCTACTTAATAAATATCGGGTTCCAACAATACGACGGCAAAAACAGAAAACCGTCGAGCTAGCACGTCTCTCTTGAAAGTACCTACCTACCGCGCATCAGTGCGTCAGATCCATCAAGCCCAACCAAATGAAGGCTGTCAAAATTGAGAGTTGCCGAATCAAATGGGTTTTCTGGGTCAATTGGTTCCAAGACTCTCAAATTATTCTAGCAGCCTTCCCTCATTTGGGCTTGATGGATCCGACGCACCGATACGCGGTACTTTCAAGAGGGACTCACGTCAAATGGTGTAGCAGCAGTGAACATTAGACATTGAGCGATCGGGAGCGGGCGAGAGGCCCGAGCGCATAGCAAAGCGTTATTTTCTACAAGCCTCAGCAATGACCTGTCATCTTTAATCTACAGTGTGAAAAGGGACATCTTCTTTAGTCTACAATATGAAAAAGGACATCAATATCTAATCATGCCATGATTCCCGATTCCAACTGGTCAAACTAGTCACGACAATCAGGTCAGATATGACAAAAATCCAGGGGCAGCCGCCGGTGGCCGGTTTCTTTAACAAGCGTCGGGTTAGTGCCGGTCATGTCGGCGGCAGCGACGGAGACCCCGGAGGCCCGCCTGGTGCCGGCGACCCGGCCGTCCCCTCGCCTGGGCCCCGATAACGCTCCACGTGCCTGCCTCGTGTGCTCACCGCTGAGCCGTTCGTTGTTGGTCGCCCCGTCATCTGCTGTGCCGGCTGTGGGAAGGCGCGACACCGGCCGGACCGGGGCGGCGTCACTGGCCTTCCGGGGCCGCGGCCGCGCCAGCTGCTCGGCTGACTCGGCCGCCCGCTCCCCGGCGACCCTGGGTGTCAGCACCGGACACCGTCCACGGACCGGCTCAAATCACCGGGACCCGGTCAGGTCGCGTCGGAAGGAGACGAGTGGACCGACCTGACCAGACACGACGAATCCGACCCAGCCGGTTCACTGGGACGGCGAGAGTCCGGCGGCCGCCGCTGAGCCCGACGGACGCCGACCTCGGTGACCGGCTGCCCGATCCCATCCCTCACCTGATCAGCAGTGGGGCCAGTATATTCTTTTTCTTTTAATGAGATACTCATACATTTTTCTTGCTGTAGCCATTTTCCGCTTCTTTATTCAGCACTGAATAACTATGAGTCCCACAACTCCATGCACCCGTGCGAAGGGGCCGGACAGGGCCGGACCTGGCCGGATTTGAGATTGGCGGGCCGCTCGGCCCAAGGCCGGCTAGCCGTGACCTTGTTGGGGCGCCGGGGCACATAGCCCTGCTGCCGCGCGCGGCGGAGATGGCTGTCCTGATGGTGCCGACACCGACTGGCACCGCTCATCGTAAAGCAGCGTCCAGACGCCAAATCAGCGCCGGCTCGGCGCCGGCGGCCGTGCACCTGCCAGACACTCTCCATTTCAAATACACACCCGAGCTGTGCAGCCGGTGAGTCAACTGACCCACGGCTGGAGACGGCCGCGCCGCCCTGGTCTGACGCAGCGCCGTATCTCAGCCAGCCGCGCCGCCCCGGTCCGAGGGTGGACCGGCGCTGCGGCTGTGTCGCGGCGCGCTCCCACGGCCTCCGCTGGCCGGCTGGTGGTGACGCAGGTCGCAGACGCTGCTGGCCGGCTGGTGGCTGGTGGTGACGCAGACGCTGCTGGCCGGCTGGTGGTGACGCAGACGCTGCTGGCCGGCTGGTGGTGACGCAGATGCTGCTGGCCGGCTGGTGGTGACGCAGGCGCTGCTGGCCGGCTGGTGGCTGGTGGTGACGCAGACGCTGCTGGCCGGCTGAGCCCATTAGCCGTTCGCCGCATGACAGACCCGCCTCGAGCCACCGCGCGGTATCGGCACCGCCGCGCCGCGGACAGGCGACCGCTCAAGGACACCAGAAATATAGCCGACCGTCTCGGCTAATTATTGGGGCTCGGCGCAGCTCGAGAAGTCGACGTAATTTAGGGCCGACCTTTGTTGACATACACGAAACCGGCGGTGACGTGACAAGGATTTCGGATCTGCCCGTTTGACTGAAGGTTAAACCGTTTACTGGGACACCTGCCTCCCTCAGGCGACGGCGAAAACGCGGCCGATACGGGCGGCCCCATCCCGATGTCGCCAGAAGGCATTCATTGTCAAAGCCAATTACTGGCAGCATGCACGGTGTATGCGGCGAAAAAGCGTCTTTTGTACTGATTGGCGGGATTTTCATTCAATGCTTCATTGCTGACGGTGTCAGGTTGTCAATCATCCCGCAAAAAGTATCAGTACACAGGCCATTCAGAATTTCAGAGGTGCGACTGGGCGCGGGTCAGGTCAGCAGTGCCTCTATGGGACGGCGGTGTCGGGTCAGCAGTGCCTCTATAGGACGGTAGCACCGGGATGCCGTGTGGATCCATTGCCGCCATTCGTTTCATTTGTTCGGCTCCGTTTCACCGCTGTATGGACGGGTGGTGCCGCGCCACTGTTCTGAAACGGGCCCTGTTCACACCTACCCGGGCCCCAGAGCGCCCCGGCCGATGGACTCGAATGGTAATGGCACCGGCCGCCGTACTGGGTGGCGGCGACCGCCCGTGCCATCCGGCAGTGGAGGGGGGCCTGTCACCGGGTCGTGCTGACACCGCGCGCCACACCGTCCGCGCAGCAGGGGCGTCTCGGCCCGGCCCTCTGCCCGGTCAGCCGCCAAAGCGTAGACAGACTGTCGCGCCGGCCGCGGGTCCACACGAGGGCCGGCGCGCGCGCAGCACGGCGGCCGGCCGACGAACGGAGGCGCGGCACGGCCGGCAACGTGCTGCGACCCGGCACCATTTTACCATCACAATTCGCCGACAGCCGGCCCGAGCTCTGTTTGTGGGTCGCCGCCCCCGGAGCGGCATTGTCAGCAGCTGACCTGACCCGTCCGCGCGGCGAGGCTGGGCCGCGGCCGACGCGGTGTCGGTGCACCCCATTGTCCGCCGCACAGACCGCCGCCGCTTACACAGCTCGGTCCAAGTCACAGTGTCAGTGGGAGCAGCATGATGCGCCGACTGATGCTGAACTGGAGCACGGTTACGGCACAGTCAGCACCTGATGGCGCCAATACCAGGACACCGCATTCTTCCAGACATGCGACGACTCATAGCAGCCACTGGTTCAGATATTCGATATTCGTTCAGATATCCCCTCCGAAGTAACTCTAACAAATCGACGACACCGGAAAAAATCCTCTAACATATTTCCTACGCATTCTTGTACAAACAGTTCATTCAACTGAGCTGCGCTGGGCCTTTGAACGTCTCGTTCGGCCGACGGTACGGCGTTAGCCTCCCTGGCTGTATTCACCCTTCCGTGTCCGTCAGGCGGCCATGAACCGATGCATCAGACGGTTAGTCATGCCGTCTAAATGTCCGTCCGCTGGACAGGATATAATACAACCAGCCAGTCACAGGGTCTGCAGGCCCCATTACAATGAGCCCGCGGCGGAACACGGGCGTTAGAGACGCTGTGCACGTCACGTGGGAGGGTGGCGGCCCCTGGCAGCCCTGACCGGTCACTCTGGAGGGGCCCCCTTACTGTCACCGGCCAATGACCACCGGCGGCCCATGGCCGGAACTGGCCACTCACGTGTCTTCTGTGGCCGGTTCCGTCACAGTTCGGCGGCCAGAATGGGCAGACGGCAACCCCGCGGCCACCCTTTGACACAGCAGCAGTGAGACGTAGCGATGGATTCCAGGGGTCTGCGACAGAACCTGACCGGTACGTCAGCGCTTCTACAGGCCGCTCAACACCCGAGCCCCACTTCACCCGGCCGAGTGGTTGGAGCCAGAGTGGAGCGATACCGACAGTTGGGCGGCGACCCGGCCCGGCGCTGCCCGGTCTCGGCGCGTCCTCACCGGGCCGCCCCTCGGCGCCGCGCCGGTCTCCGTCTCCGGCGCCAGATCTATGGCGGCCGTCACGGGACAGGTCATTGTACCGCCGTACCGGCGCCGGTCGACTCCAACAAATGGCCGCGCGCACTCCCGGCCATAAATAGCAGAGGTCGGCGCGCCGCTACTCTGCCGACCGCATCTCATGTCGCGTCCACTTCCGCGTCTGTCCGCGCCCCGCCCGCCCCGCCCCGCCCCGCTCGGGGTCGGGCCGGGCCGGTCGGCGGCGCCGAGGCCGGTTACGGGGCGGCAGGCCGGCGCGACGGCCCATCACCGAGCGCCGGCTGATGAACCCCGCCGGCCGAACTCATGAGCCGGTAGTCAGGCTCGGGCTCCCGTCTACATAGGTGGGAAGTTCCGTCTGTACGCATCCGTTCCGTTAGCCGGGGTAGCCGAAGAGACTTTGATGACGTGTGATGGAGTTTGAGGCAATGGGCGAACAGTATGGCCGATAAGGCAGGGCCTGCGTCCGCAGGCTATAAAACAGATCTGCCTTATCTGGCCTTCATAAAAACATATGCATTAAGTGACATAACATGTAAAATATAAATATTAGCCCTCTGAACTTCCGTGACCTGACCGCAGCCCTCTGACCTTACGTGACCCGATCGCAGCCCTCTGACCTTCCGTGACCTGACCGCAGCCCTCGGACCTTTAGTGACCTGACCACGGCCCTCGGACCTCAAGTGACCTGACCACGGCCCTCGGACCTCTGATGACCTGACCACGGCCCTCGGACCTCTGATGACCTGACCACGGACCTCGGACCTTAAGTGACCTGACCACGGCCCTCGGACCTCTGATGACCTGATCACGGACCTCTGTCTGTTTCAGCCGCAGCCGCCGTGACACATCGATACAACTATGGCCTCCTTCAGAGTTCTGTTCGTGCTGGCGCTGGCCGCCACGACCCTCGCAGGTAACGACCTCAGCCCCAGGTGGGCCGCGGCTCATCTTGGTGTTAAGTTGCTCGGCCGATATCAGTTCGATAATGGCAAAAATGAGGTCTAAATAAATATATCCTACTCAAACAGGTGGTTGGCCGCTTTAGTAAATATATTTCCGAAAACTTAGGTTTCAAAGTTTTCATATATTTTTAATTAAAGTAGTACAGTCTTAAGACTCAAGAGACTTACTTAGTTCATTTTCCAAGTGGCTGAAGTCGGCCGCCTTAATGGGCGCCAGGGCACTCCCCCCCCCCGCGAGTGTGTTTTCACTAGTAATTAGGAACCGAAGAGGTCTTGTCCCGTGAGCTGCTGCACGAGGATGGTTGTCCGAGTGTCGACTGCCCCGCTGACCGTCGTTTCCGACTCGGTTCCAGTTCCGATGGCGCGCCCGTCGACCATCGAGGCCACCGTTCATGACGTCACGGACAGCGCAGAAGGTGAGAGAGCACGCGCCGCGGCCGACCCTCCCTGCCCACCGCCCTGCCGACCAGGCAGTTAGGTTTGTTCTTAGCATCACCTTCCCGCATCCTCCTACTCACCATGTAAAAATCACAATGCCTGCTGCGGTACAATGGTAAACAAATGTCGGCATACTAACAACTGTACAGACATAAGAAATGTGTGCTTTTTAACATGTACGGTAGTAAACATAAACAGGAACAGATTAACACTTTCCAACGCCGAATCCCATGGCTGTTGTGATCACTGCTGTCTCTTCTCTCCCAACTGACCAGTGACCTCCTGTCACACTGATTCCGACCGCGGTCACCGGGTGAGCCGAGCCACCGTTGGCGCGGCGGGCTGCGGCCGAGCGGCGCGCGCCGGTCGCCGTGAGCGCGCTCCGACGGCGCCCACTGACACGTACTAAACTATGCACCCATGCCCGTAGCTCGGGTTGGCCAGCAGCAGCACGAGCTATCCGCGCCGTCCACCCAAGGGTCGGCTGGCGGTTTTCTGCGGGACACGCTGACAATACCATGAATACCATGAGACCATGCAAATGGCACCACTGAAAACTCGGATAGTTAAGGTGGCGCAACTGAGCCATGGGCATATGAATTTCTCAGCACTGTTGCTGTAGGTGTCGCTACTAAGCCCTCAACTGGTGTAGGTGGCGACACTGAACCCCCAACTAGTGTAGGTAGCGACAAGTTGATCCCTCAACTGGTGTAGGTGGCGCTACTGAGCCCCCAATTCGCGTAGGTAGCTACATTGATCCCTCAACTATTGTATGCGACCATACTGAAGGCATCCCTGACTTGCCCTTATTCCCCGCGCAAAAAGCAAAAAGCAGCCACCCACGCGAGATATTTTGTAGGAATAAGCATTCGAAATGGGGCATTTTGGTAGAAGGCGCTTCTGGGAGGCCAAAGTCTGAAACGCACGCCCAGCAAGATCCGCATGCACCCTACAGCTTGGTTGTGGAGGTCTGCATGTAACATGGCTTGGAGAAGATACACCGGGTGTGTGGAATCCGGCGAGCATCGCGCATGACCACGACATCCGACTGCCGTTGCCAGCAACACCTAACAGCCGCGGATCTTTGATTGGGCATCGGAATGACGGCATTGGTCATTGGAGCGAAGGAGCTCAGCGGTACCCACTACCACACCCATGTACATATGTATAATGCGGAGGAGAGACGATATAGAGCACTTCTTCTCTGCCGAAATGCCATATGACATAACAACCATCCCAAAATGCTTTGGAATTCTTTGGAACTTCATAATCTTTGCTAGCATCCGGACACTAAGAATGGCCCGTTTATATTATATATAATGATTTTCCATTGGCGACGAGAGGACTAAACAGCATTTAGGTAGGTATGTGTAAAGGTTTTAAATTTTTAATTTTCGACGAAAATTTTGCTTATGTTGCTAATAGAATCTGGAGGATTATTAGTTTTTGCGTGAAGCCGAAAGGAAAAGAAGAACATTTTGAGAACCTGTCGAAATCAATATATATCGTCGTAGCTGTCGTGTTTCGAACGGCGCCCGCTAGGTGGCGAGACGTAGTTCCAAGACGGTGTACCAGACGTCTCCATTGTCGCGGTCGTTTCAGCCTGTTATCACAACGGCGAAACGTACGAGGATGGCAGTCGGATCGAGGACCCGAGCGATCCGTGCGCAGTGCGCTTCTGCGTGGGCGGCAGCGTTCGCAGCACGGCGCTGCAGTGCATCGTGCGGGACGACTGTGAGCCGCGCCACCTGGCGGGCCTCTGCTGTCCCAGCTACGACCACTGCGCCTCGCTCGGTTAGTCGGCCTGCCGGTGGGCCGTCCTGGGCGCCACAACCGCCCGAACCATGTCCCCGCAGTTCCACTCTCCGAAAGCCCACTGTCTCACCGTGCTGAGCTCGTGGACTAGCGTCCAGCTCAGCGGGCGTAGAATCTTATTCAACAAACACACGAGCACTAGTGCAGGCGCACACTGTGCGCCTGCATCTTTACTGTCCATTACGTGTCATCCGCATTCCACAACCGTTCTAAACCGCAATGCCTGACGTCTGCCCTGGCGCGTTTCAGGCAAGTTCCCGCAGGGTGCGGCCGAGCCGTACCAACCCGAGGACGACGACCCGGAAGTAGTCGCGGCCGCCGAGGAGGTGAAGGCCGCTGCCGAAGAGGCCGCTGACGAGGCCGAAGAGGCCGCTGATGAGGCCGCCGAGGAGGCCAAGGCCGAGTCTGAAGAGGAGGAGGCCGACTCGGAGGGCAGCGGGCTCGAGGCTGACGAGTCCGACGAGGCTGACGACGACTCGTTTGCTGCGCAGCTGGTGTTCGACGAGGACGCCATCGAGGCCAGCGGCGTGGTCGCCGACGACGCCGAGCACGTGGAGGGCTCCGGCGTCGTGGCCGACTTTGCCCGCACCGCGGCGCTCCAGGAGCCGATCGAGGCGTCCGGCGCGCCGGCACAGGACGACGCCGAGGCTGTCGAGGGATCCGGCGCCGACTACCAGTTCGACGGAGCCGCGAGCGAGCAGCTGCGCTTCGCCCTGGAGGGGTCTGGCGAAGTGGCCTTTGACGCGGTGGAGGGATCTGGTCGACGGGTCAGTCTAGACGAGACCTCTGAGCCGCTGCTGCTGGAAGCGTCCGGTGAGGCGGCACTCGACGACGCCGAGGGTTCGGGCATCTCGCACGAGCCCGAGCTGGGAATCGAGGGCGAGGACCTGCTGAGCAGCAAGTAGATGCGCGCCAGTCGGTCGGCACCAGCCTTCACCGGAGTGAGCCGTCCGGCCGGTGGGCAGACTTGCCCGAGCCGCCGCGCCCCCGGTCCAATCAGGAGACACAAAACTGTGGCATTACACGCGCGTCCGGTCGGTTTGTGATACATACATGTCCGCTATTTCACGTGCGTTGCATGGGCGTTGACACACTAAAGCTAATATTTATTTTTGTGAGTCGCGCAAGGCCTTCGGCGGCTTAGGAGAGCCACTGCGGTCGCCCACCACTTGGGAATGCGTCCGAACAACGCGGCTGCCAGGCCGGCCAGTACCGCGGCCCCGTGTCCCTGTCCGCCAGTGGGAGACAGCACTGTCTCCAAGTACATCTTCCAGTGGTACACGGTTCGGGGTGGACGATCTTCCGCCAGAGATGAACCATTCCCTTAGCGCCATTCCTCCAAACTGTGCATCAATTAGCGACGGTTAGCCAGCATCAGGTGTTGTGTGCAATCAAAGACTGTAGCTGCTTTGGCTTCATTCCACGAGGTGAAACGTGGTCCAATAAAAGGCGACAAAGGATCGGGATGTTTGAAAAAGAACATTTTACTCTAAAACTCAAAGGAGTATTGGAAATAAATTTCAAAGTTGGAACACATTCACCCCCACAAACTTCTCATCGCATTAGAAGAAATGATGCGTCATATTTGTTAAGCATTTGAAAAGCGATGAAACCATTGTTATGGTTGTGCACTGCTAAGCGAAGTAATCAGTGTACGTACATTTATGCCATTTAAATCCCATTAGGGCTAAATCGCCTAATCCTCCACTATATAACCCGGCAGTTGCTGGGGTATTTCGCCACCCACCGTTTGCTGGGGGGGGGGGGGCATTAAACGCCCCCAGCCGATAACCCGAGAACCAATAGGCGCAGCGAAACGCACGAGGCGGCAAACGAAAGAACGCGACGAGACGCTTCAGATGAGTACTTTAAAATTGAATTTTGAGGTAACAGGTCGGGTCAAGGTCAGGTCAAACACCTGAAATCGGGCTTTCAGTAGCATGGATTTCAGGACTTCGCAATGGGTGCCTCTCGTCATAAACTCTGTCAAAACGGTGCACAATCCATCATATAAGGCCTACAAGAGTGTCAGCTCCATGTAGGGGTCAATCAAGCATAGGTCAGGGTCAAGGTCAGGTCAACCTGGTAGGCACATATCCTCGAAAATCAAAACTGATATTCGCAGCCTGTGACACATGTTTTATGGGTAATTTGGGGCGTAGAACACGATGGTGACATTCATTTTATCATATGTGTACGTGTTTGGCTCAAAAACTTGAATTTAAGAAATGCATGTGTCATGGTGGTGAAGAAGTCACGAGAAATTGCCCAGATTTAGTTCAAGATTTTGGAAAATGCGGAACGATAATCAATAATCGAAGATAGCCATTTGATTGTTCATGGTATTGGCAGTCTAATGGCGTTTACGGCATGTCTGTATGTCTATTCTGTGATTTTATATGATTTTTTGAACATATGCCGTTTTTCGTCGAAAACTCAGAAATCATGACGTCATTAAAACTTCGATATCTCAAAAATTTTCGGACCGATTTTTTTTGAAACTTTGTCACAATAGACTTCCATCAATTCCCTACAGGTACCAAGCGTTGTTTTTATGCTATGGCTCGGCGAAAAAAGTGGGGGCGTTTAACGCCCCCCCCCCCCAGTAACTCGCGGGATAAGTCGCTAAATCCTCCACTTCGTTTGGCACGAAAAACGATTTGAGCTAACGACGGGAAATTTGGTATTTCCTTAAAGGGACCCTCCCACCTCCAAAAAAGTTTATGAATTGGCATGAAAGTGATGTCGCTCGGTTCAGAAAGAGCGAAAACGAATATCTACCAAATTTCACCGAAAAATATTCACCGGTTTTCAAGATATTAGACTTTTACTTTTGTTTACTTTTTTTGGGATCTCCGCTGTTTCTAGCGACTTTATTTTAGAAGTGCGGCGTTTGCGGCAGATGTTGCGCGCAAATAGCATATACCACCGCGTGCTACAAAACGTTTTAGTCAAACATTTAAAAATCGTTAGATATCTGCGCTGACGTCACACATTCAGAGGGGTATTCCTAAGCATTAGCCCCTCTGAATCAAAATGCTGCAATTTTGAAATTCAATATTTCCGATTTAAGGCATTTCTCGATGTTGTGAGTGCCGAAACCGGTAATTGTGAGCCAGGGACCCCATTTTGGCTATCTCAACTCAAATCTAATGTTAAGGTGGGAGGGTCCCTTTAAAATTCATTGGGAGTATTGTGCCAAAATGTTATCTTCTTTTTTGCGCAAAAATATATCTAATGCCAATTTATCGGGAGCATGTTTTCGTCAAAATTCCGCTCTAAAAATCATTCGCCGCTAACAGCCAGTCTTTTTCTCTTTACAGTAGGTACCTAATGTAGCTAAGTAAGAAACACACACAAAAGCGTGCCAGGCCGGTGATCGGCGCCCACCGCGCCGGATCGTAGGAGGGGGGGGGGGGGGGAAGGGAGCTTGAAACCCCTCTACCTCGACTTTAGAGAGAGCGTCAAAAATAATGAGGAAGTACCTCGGCCATTTTTTAGGTTGGGGGAAAATCAAGTCACCAGAGGTCATCAACAGTCCAATTTCAGGGTTCAGGGCACTACAGGGTGCGGTCGATAAATTAGGACAACTTTGAGAACGCTATTTGGCAAATAAACTGGTGAGCGAGTAGATATTTTAACCCGGCACTGCCTGGGCTATTTCCGTACCCACGACAGCCTGGGAGGGGGTCGGATCCGACCCCCCCTGCTATCTCGAGAACCAATGGTCGTATCGAGCCCCGCGAGGCGGCGTTCGAAAGGTCTCTACGAGACCTTCCCAAAGCACTCTTAAGATTTTAAGATTGAGGTCAACTTTCGGATCAAGGTCAGGTGAAAGGTCAAATTCTGGGGTTTTGCATGATTAGGCTTACGGACAGCGGAATCGATAGCTGCTGCTCGAAACTCACCAAAAATGACCTCAAAGACCTAGTGAATGTACCATGTGCGTAGAGGGGTCAAACTAAGTACGGGTCAAGCAAGGTCAGGTCAGGTCACGAAAGGTCACGGTTTTCACTTTCTGCTACATGGGCGTGCGACACATGTTTTATGGCTTATTTTTCACGCCGAATCCGATATGGTTATATGTGACCCCAAGTCACTGTGCTGGTGATAAGTGTGCATTGAAAGCATCAAGAATCGTTTAATACCATACATAACTAAACGAGGGCTAAGAAAAAAGTCAATTTTCAACTTTTTATTTTTGATATAAAAAATGCTTTTTTAAGTTGTAATTTGGGACATATAATGTTCTAATAGAGCTCTATAACATATATTCCGTTTTTTTTTAAATCTCAATATTTTGAATTTTATTAGGTGTTTTCCAAAAGAAATATAGTTTTTTGAATTTTCAGGGGTAAAAAACGCATTTTATGGAAAATCCGAGATAGCCATTTTAAAGAACTCGTTGAGCTGCGTCTATTCATGTTCTTAATTTGCAATTTGCTTTAAACCTTGATTTTTGGCGATTTTTTAAACATTTACCTTTCTTGACTGAAAACGCCATGTAGTTACATCACTAAAATCGATATATCTAAAAAAAAATTGGAAATTTTTCTTAAAAATTGCACAAAAGACGTCAAATTGATGGGGGAGAAGGTATGCCAAGTTTCAAGTTGATAGCGGAAGCGGTTCATGAGTTATTCAGGAAAAAAACGGAGGGAGGGTCGGATCCGACCCCCCCCCCCCCCCCCCACCAGGCGGTCGCGGGTTAAGGTGTGAGCTTCATTAGCTGTTCGTTCTCGGTCTTTAACCTGAATTTTGCAATGATCTGTGCGTTTTGAAGCACAAGAGAAGAGAAAAAGGGCGCCCTTGTCGTTGGGCTCCGCGCTGGGAGGACCGCTGGCATTTGGCAAAATAGTAGAGTTTAACAAAAGCCCCAGAATCCTGTGTTATCGGATTAATAAGGAGTTTGATGGAAGGGTGGTGGGCGGAGAGAGCCACAATGAAGTTTCTGTGCAAAAGAAGGCCCATAAGAGAAGATGGGATTCCTTCAGGACTCCAGCCACTGTGATGGTGCTGACAGTCGTCTCCAATGAGCGTGCATTTAACTATGCCGTCTTTCTTCTTTAAGGAGGGCCTGAGGGTCAATGCTGATGCGTACAAATATTTGATGGACACAGTGGTAAAGCCATTATGAAGGGCGTTATTGGAAGCCGTCACTACGCCTTCCAGCAAGACGGAGCAACAGCCCACACCGCAGGGCGGGAGGAAAACATGAAGGAGCTCCGGCCAAAAAAACATCTGGCCCCATAGGCAGCTCCCCTGACGAAGTAAACGATCACTTTCACATCACTAAATCCTCCCTGAAGATCAAGATGACCGAGGTGATGGCTTTCCTGGACAAGGCCATGGTGGCCAGCGCGTACAAGCGGTTCTGCAACCGAATCGAACGTGTCATGGAGGCTTAAAGGGGATTCATCGAGTGAGACAGGATGTGGACATAGCAAGGAGGAAGTGTGCCAAATTTGGAGTCAATATATTCATTTTTGTAGAAGATATGACGTTTTTTGTAAGACATGCACGTTTGTCCTAATTTATCGCCCACACCCACTATAGCATCGACAGCAAAAGGCGCATTCAACAGCTCCTTAACCTTTCTTCCCGGAAAAAGTAAGTTCTTTCTGGAATTTTGAAATGCGTCAGTTTCTAAAAAAGGTAAATATGCCCTTCTCTCACTAGACATTAAGTTACGACACTCGGAGTTCTTCCTAAAAAGTAGCACGCATTTAAAGCACACACATGTTTAAATAACGAAATCAAAGACGATTGGCAAGAAGACTCGGAGCGGAAAGTTCGCCGGCGAAGACAAATTTGGCAAGAAGACAAATTCTTGTACGCTTCAAATTTTCAGTGCATTTTTCGGGCTTAAATTTATCAAAAGCATGTAATTATGAATATCATTTTTTAAAGAGATAAAATAAATATCATAACAAAAAACATTACAATCTCATACGAATATTTAGTGGAATAAGTTCAAGCACAATTAAATGCATTTTCGAAATTGCTAAATTCATAGCACTGAAAGAGGCTAAAAATGGCAGCATTGACATCAAAAGAATCCGAAGACACAGCACTGGAATCAAGAGGTTATACGCTGGGTAAAAAACTGGGTCAAGGCTCTTATGCTAAGGTTCGAATGGCTGAGTATAGAGCTGGCGATAAGGTTGAAAAATTGGCTTGTAAGATCGTGGATAAAAATGTGGCTCCCAAAGACTTTCTAGCGAAATTCTTTCCTCGAGAACTGGATATAATTCCAAAAATGGACCATCCGAGCGTGATTAGAGTCCACAGCATACTGGAAAGAAACATGAAGGTAAGTGTGAAGCAGGTCATTGTCTCAGGTAGCAGCTAAGAGCACTCCAAAGACACGGGCAAAAAGGCGCAAGCATCACAAAACGGGCGAGTTTAACGAGCCCGGCACTATGATGCTACCAAGGAGGGGGGGGGGGGGCTAATGCATTAGAATGCCCCTCTGAATGTGTGACGTCAGCGCAGATCTAACGATTATTAAATCTTTTACTAAAACGTTTGGTAGCATGCGTTGGTATATTATGCTTTGCGCGCAACAAGTGCCGCACTTTCAAATAAAGTCGCTAGGAACAGCGGAGATCCCAATAAGTAAACAAACGTAAAAGTGTAAAATCTTGAAAATCGGTGAAAATGGTTTGATGAAATTTGGTAGATATTCGTTTTCGCTCTTTCTGAACCGAGCGCCATGCCAATTCATCAACTTTTTTAAGGTGAGAGGGTCCCTTTAATCGGCCAACCAGAGAATTTCGACTTGTCCGCTTGGTATTTATCAGTGGACGCCTCATAATGTACCGAAAATAAGTACCTCGCATCAAGATTCGTTATGTAAGTTATCTTAACCCGCGCCCTGCTGGGGGGGTGTTTGAACACCCCCCCCTTGTGGTTTTTCGCGAATATCTCAAAAATGGCGGCGCGGAGCGCCGCCGTTTTTGGTACACCTTATCATACATCAATTCTACACATGTTGTGAAAATTTCAGACCGAGGTCATTCAAGGTCAGGTCACCAGGTCACTTGAAGTGACCTCACCTCATAAAAAGTTTCAATGTCTGTCATAGCTACACCGAGTGACCGATCGCTTTGAAACTTTCAGCGATTGCTAAGAGCAATAGCATGTACAAAATGTATATCTCAGAATTTTGATATCGATGACCTAAGGTCAGGTCAATTTTGCGACCTCCCCATTATAAGTCAATGGGAGAAAATTGAAATGCGTCTCTTTCGGACGAAAGACATTATAAACACTCCCAAACACTGAATTACAAGTAGTTTAGACACACTGAACATGAAAATGGTGTCCGTGACCCCTGTTTATGCCCTGAGGTCATCTTAGGTCACGAATGGTATCTAACAGTTTTTCGCAAATAACTTTTGATAGAGGCATGCTAGAGCGATGAAAACACCTTAGATGTGTTCAGCTCGACGATACGGATCGACTGATATGCAACATGACCCTTTCCGGTCAGGTCATGACCTTGACCTGAGGTCAAATTTTCAAGTTGACCTTTCAAGGTCAAGTTATAGTTCATTCGATGCGTCTTGACGAGAGGAACACGATGCCGGTAAAAGTAAGCTCGTACAAGGCTTGGGTCAAAAGTTATTGCAGAAAACCCGTTTCCGAAAAAATCGGCTATTTTTGCAGTTTTTGCCCCCTGCAGGCAAAACCGTTGACGTTAGGTCAAATCTGAGAGAATTACTCAGAAAGGGCGTTAATAGGGCTATCGAATGCGCTTTTCCGCGGCGCTGTAGCTCTATTGGTTCCCGAGTTATGCGTTGGCTTCTTGGAAATTTTCGATATTCGACCTGGAAATCGGCGAAATTTTGCCTTCAATGACCTCTGGTGACCTGACCTTTGACCTGACCAAAAAATTGACCGAACTGATTTCGTCATTATTTTTGACGCTCTTTCGAACGCCGCCTTCCGCGTATCGCTACGTGGCTCAGGAGCCGAGTTAGAAGGGGGGGTGTTCAAACACCCCCCCCCCCCCAGCAGGGCGTGGAAATCCAGGACCCCCAGCCGGGCGCGGGTTAATTGACGTTCAACCTGCCTAACAAAACACAAATATTGATATAGGTAGTAAACATAATTTGGGAAAGAGGATAGCTCTCCATAACGGCAAATGTCGCCCTCCCTCATTTCAGGTGTACATATTCATGCAGTGCGCCGAGAACGGCGACCTGCTAGAACATATTCAAAAGAACGGCGTGATCCCTGAGGCGCGAACTCGTGCCTGGGTCCAGCAGATGATCAGCGGACTTATCTATCTGCATAACCTCAACATCTGCCACCGCGACCTCAAGTGCGAGAACGTGCTCATCACTAAGAACCACAACCTCAAGATCGCCGACCTGGGCTTTGCACGCTACGTGGTGGACGCCGAGGGAAAGCGGGTGCTGAGTCACACCTACTGCGGCTCGGCCGCCTACGCCGCCCCGGAGGTGGTCAAGGGCACGCCCTACAACCCGAAGATGGCCGACGTCTGGTCCATGGGCGTCATCGTATACATCATGGTGAACGCGTCCATGCCGTTCGACGACAGCAATCTCAATAAGATGCTGCGCGACCAGTTGAACCGCAACTGGAGCTTCCGCAGCAAGGTGCGCGACAAAATGTCGCCCGACCTTAAGACCATGATCACCAGAATGATCGAGCCGGACCTCACCAAGCGCTTCACGGCCGATCAGGTGCAGCAGTGCGAGTGGATGAACAGATCTTGAGGGTCACAGTCGCGTCACACGCGAAACAATCAGCTAACATTTCACAACTTCCTGATGGTACATACTTTTCGGCTCTAAATAACCCCAGTAAATACTGCGAGATTAAATATACCATGCAAGCGGTAATGCTGCATGAATTAATAATTGTTTGTAAGCAATAATTGATAGTTCCTACACCTCGGTGGGTTCCCAGCACAACGCGAACTGCTCGGACGAGGCAGACTGTCAACTTCCTAGCTTACAAACGGACAGCGGAAGAAACTTAGACAGGGGGTCACCACACTTCAAAAAGGGGACCTTAAAATTGAATTCAGTAGGCACGCTTTGACTGGACCCCATTAGAGTCGCCACGGGGGGGGGGGGGGGGGGGCAAGCGGGGCAGCTTGCCCCCCCCCCCAACCTCGGACCGGGCACCCCCTGAGATCGATACATATCCGATGAGATTTTGGAGTCGGGGAAAAATGGGGGTACCTTTCTGAGAATGCCTGTGAGGTCAGACTCGTTCAAGCCAGAGTCGGAGTCGCAGAAGCCAACATTGTCAATGACGCCGACTCCAGACTCGGAAATGTCAATACTGTGATTCATTTCATGTTCCTAGTTGGTTCTTTATTACATTTTATAGCTGATTTTCATAAGTTTTGAAGTGCTGATACAAAATTTGCGTTCAAAGCGTGACACTAAATCTTCGGGCCTTCCTCAACTCTCGTCAAATGCCTGCGACAGACTCAAGTACCGTTCAAGTGCCACAGGGCTCATGACCGCTTACTTTTCACACAGGCTCCGAAGGAGCTCCACTGAGCTCCAAGAAGCCTTCAGAGGGCCCAAACCGGCCTCTGAGAGTCCCACTGGTGTTCATATTCTCTGTGGGCCCACACAGGGATCTTTGAGGACCTTACACATGCGTAGACCTCTGAAGGGCCACACGGATCTTTGAGGATACTTTCAAAATTTTTTGAGAACCTTAGGCCTCTGATAGCTCAGCCGAGCTTTTGAGGCGACAGATTTTGCTGAGCCCATCATGTATATCATTCGATGCGTCTTGACGAGCTGAACTAAGTGAGACCATCCACGCGTCTGTATCTTGTTCCTGTACGGAGTTATTGGCCAAAAACCGCTGGTGACCTTTGATGACGTCACATGACCTCACAGCTGCCCAACAGCAAAACAGACCTCAAGGTAGTGAAGGTTGATCGTATATGAAGTCATGTATGGTATATGGGGCCATTCCGACCCGTTTTAGTGGTAAAAACAGGGAGTTGATTTTTCCCCCATTGACTTATAATGGGGAGGTCGCGAAATTGACCTGACCTTAGGTCACCGATATCAAAATTCCGAGATATACAAATTGTAGCTACTAATGACCTAATAACATCCTGCGACTTTCAAAGGCCTCCGACATCTACTGTAGCTCTGGCACGGTGACAAAGTTGCAAAAAAGTGACTTGAGGTTGGGTCATTCAAAGTGACCTGGTGACCTGACCTTGAAAGGTAGGAGGTTCAAACTTGCACACCATGTGTAAAATTGATGAGGGAATAGTCGTACTAAATTTTGCGGCGCGTAGCGCCGCGGTTTTCCCGCTATTTGCGAAAAACCTCAGGGGGCGGATATCCGCCCCCCCCCCCGTCGGTGCGCGGGTTAAAAAAGGCGCTACTTGATGTTCGGTTGGGCAGAGCCTAGGATGATGTCACAGATTGGTGTTTGCACGGGCGCAGCCAGGTTGGTCCTCCCTCCCCCCCCCCGGCCTTGATGGTCAGTGATACGTGATTTTTTAAGAAATTTATTTTTGGCAGCTTTACAAAATGAAGTGGCCGAAATCCGGGGAGAAAATAGGATTTGGGGGTAGGTTAGGTTCCGCGGGCCCTATCCTAGCGAAAAACCTAATGGGCATTTGCCCCCCCCCCCCCCCCCACCTTTCAGCTGACCCTGGATCCGCCCTTGAGCGCGAGTTATTGGCGAAAAGCAGGAGGGGTGGGCGAAATCCCCCCCCCCCCTTCCACTGCGCGTGTTAAGCGTGAGCCTTGTTAGAAAAAAGGCAATTTAACATGGGAATCCTAGGGGAAGTAGTTTTTGAGCCGGCGCCCATTTGGTATAGTGCTACCAATTGTTACTGGCTACCAGGACTGCGGAGTCGGAGTCGGAGTCGGTCGGAGTCGACAGTTCTGACCGGCATCGGAGTCGGAGTTGATTTTGGAAATCGGAGCCGGAGTCTGAGTTGTAGTCGGAGTCGGAGTCGACAGTTCTGCCCGGAGTCGGAGTCGGAGTTGGTTTTTGGAAGCCAGAGTCGGAGTTGGAGTCACCGAAAATCCACCGACTCCGCTCCGCAGCCCTGCTGGCCATCCCTGATCCTAAGGCAGGTTACCTGCCTATCATGGCGAATCATCCTCCACCCCTCTGAAGCGAGGATACAACGGATAAACCTTTTTTTTTTTTTACTTGCACTGTATTTGCACATGTGGCACAGAACACTAACAATGCCTATCTTTATCACTGAGTCATTCCGCTCTTAACATAACGACGTGTCACACTTCACATATCCGATTGGCGGTAGCGGAGCGCTGGCGTTCCGCTGGTCGCCTGGCCCACCCAGTTCCCAGGCGCGGCCGGCCCCCGAGTCACCGGGACTCAGCTGCGCATGTAGTACTCGATGGCGGCGGAGAAGACGGCGAACCCCGCGCCGCCGAGCAGACCCGCCTTGACGCCGGCTGGAACACGGACCAGGCGGCCGTCACGGGGGCGAACAGCCATAATTAAATAATACGAGGATTACGCGACTCCGCGATTCCTACGTGCTAGCCCACACCAGGGCACTGATCGCATCATCACGCATCGAGGCGAGAGGGATATTTGGGCGCCCCAACCCCCTAGCTCTGCTCCTGGACCTCGCAGCGACAAGCCGTTAGCGGCTGTTGAAAAGTCACAAAATCACGTACTTCGGTTCTTTTTATAGGTAAATTCATACGAGGGGGTATCGAAAAGTTCTGATCATCACCATGAATTAGATGTGATAGAAATTTGATTTTTTTACATGATGTTCATTACTTCTTAATAAGTCACCACACACGACCGCAAACTTATTGCATCGTTTCTTGAGCTGCCTCAGGCGGTCATTGTAGGACATTCGCACTGTCCCGTAAATCACTGCTCCACCTCATCAATGACGTCATTTCTGTCCTTAAATCACCGGCCATACTATGGATTCTTCATCTCCCGTAACTATCAAGAGTCAGTTAATACCCGGTCAGGTGAATTTCTTAGATGCAGTAGGATTTAATGTCCACATCATGTAGTTTCTTCAATCGCAGCTCAGGACGAATGGGCGGGGGCGCTGTCGGTGCGGATAAAACATCTTTCTTGGCTTTTTTTGCGGCGATTCTACTTGAGGCCATCTCGCAACTTCTTCAAAAGTGTGCAGTAGTGCTTGCTTATCAATTCCGACCATCATCAAGACAGTCGGTAATGACTATCCTACGCCAGATCCAGAACACTGATAGCATTGACCTTCCATATCGGCTTCTGCATCTTCGCCTTTTAAGAAGGACAGATGTGCCGTGCTTAAACTTCTTGATCATCTTTTTGTCTCTGGATCATACACATAGACCCAGCATTCGTCACAAGTCATCAAATGATCGAAGATGTCTTCAATTTCCTAAAAAAGGCCTAGTTTTCCTTTGGAAAGGGCAAGACGCATTTTTCTCTTGAACAAAGTAGACACACGAACTTCTAAGCGGGCTGACTCCTTTATCGTCTGTAGTTCTTCGCTGATAATATTTTCAGGCACTGCCAGCATTGAGACCTTTCTGTTGCACAATCATATGAAAGGTCACAAGACGATCTGTAAGGATGTGGTCCTCCACTTCCTTCACAGTCACCACCTTGTCAGTCACTGGTAGTCACTCACTTCTTGACTCCCCTGCAAGGGCCATGCAACCAAGTTGAAAATTATTTCTTCATTTTCGGTAAGAGCATGAGATGGGCTTTCCTCGCCATAAACTAATTTCACGTTCTTGATGTATTTTCTCAGTGAGATACCGTTTCAAATGCATTAGTTGGAGGACGGTTCGGTCCTCAATGGGCCCAATACTCATCTTTTTTACTTCTAAGTCTCTCCTACATAAGATAGAACCACTTCTCAGGGTTCTCTTTGCGGGAACATTGTTCTTAAGAACCAAATATAATACCAACCAAAAATCATCAAAATCGGTCTATATCTTCTATGTGATGATCAGAACTTTTCGATACCCCCTCGTACGCCAGGTTATCACAAGTCAGTCCACCATCCAATGTTGAAATTTTTGCTCGAACATGACCTCAGTTTGACCTCAATAACTTCTGACCTAAGGTGACCTAAGACTTGAAATTTTGTGTGAAGGTGTCAAATTGATGCCCGGGAAGGCACTGAAAATTTGGTGGCGCGCAACCGTTTTCTTGCTATTCAGGAAAACACAGGGGTGCAATTTGTCCCCCCCCCCCCCAGCGGGACGAGGATTAAGCTGGATAAAAAAAAAACAGATACACCTACCGAACACACACGGTTAGACATTCTATCTGGAACACTCATTCAGTCCTCAAAGTCAATAGCCAGCTTAGAGGAGGTGCCAAAATTATGCACCCCTTGCGGACCGCCGACCAGCTGCGCTCCGTGGACACCGGTTTTGTCTCACTATTTTCCGCTGGTTATCCTCGTGCCATGCTCCGGGTTAACCCTCGCCAGACCTATTGGTTTTCTACATACGCGTCGACCGAGGGGGGGGGGGTACTACCTCCCTCCCCGCTTCGCCCCTGGTGGAGCTAGCGCGTCGCGGAAAAAACGAGCGTGTGCGCCGTTACGAGACGCAGAGATTGATACCCGATTTTAGGGTCCTAGGTCAACCGGTGACCTCTGAAGTCAGGTCAAGTGCCCCAAGGTACCGTTCCGTTTTTGGTGAATAAATTCGCAAAAAAAAAAACGGCCGCAGAGCCGCGATTTTGGCAGCATCGTGTTCGCCTCGCTCAGGCGCGTCGAATAATATACTTTTTGTTTGGGTGAGGTCTGAGCGAGGCGAACACGATGCTGCCAAAATCGCGGCTCAACGTCCGTTTTTTTTTTTACAGTTATTCACCAAAAACTCGAATCTAAATATCTCGAAATTAAAACATTTCTCGATGTTGTGAATTACCAAAACCGGTAAATGCAACCTAGGGACCCCAATTTCGTTATAGCAACTCAAAACTAATGTTAAGGTGGGATGGGGACTTTCACCTTCCAGGCGGTGGGGGGAGGCATTCCCCCCCCCCTTTAGTTTTTTTTTATATATCTCCAGAACCGCTGCGCCGATCGTCACCGAACTTTCAGTACCCCCCGTGAATAGCTTTTGCGCATTGTGACCAAATTTTTTTGCAAAGGCTATGATAGGTTGGCCGCTAATGACGTCGGAGTGACGTCATTTCTGCCATTTTCGACCCAAAAAAGGTTACGCGGGAAGAGCCGTCAGGCCTACAGCTTTAGAAACACAGAAAAATGTTTCGAACATAATAGGTGTAGAATCAACAGGGCTACAAAACTGTTATCTCGGAATCGGATATTTGAAATTTTTGGAATTTGACCCAATTTGTTTTTTAATATAATAGCCCAAAAATCCAAAGTGTTTTGAATTTCGAAAAAAAACGGAATATATGTGATAGTCGCTACCACCTTTTATCCGCATACCGAATGTTAGATCGATACCTCTTTTTTTGGCCAAGTTATAGCGAAGAAACTTCAAAATTGATGACGTCAAATTTTCAAACTCAATTTTTAGCAATGTTAGACCTCGTAGCGCAAAACAAAGACCACCATTAGACTCCCCGTGACGAGCTGCATCGAATCAATATCCATTTTATGCAAAACTATCAACTTTTAAATTTGACCTCTTTTGACCTGACCTTGACCTGACCTCAACCACAAAGTGACCTAAACCGTACATGATGGTCTTATAACCAACACCATTGGGTTGGAAATGAGAAATTGGCCATAAAACATGCATCGCACAATCTAAGTAAAGTTGGGTTCATGTGTTGACCCTTGGTGACCTGACCTGTGACCTGACCTGGTATTATCAGTGACCTCTAATAGCAACACGTGTACTAGGCAACTGACGCCCTATCGCTGATTTTCGACAAAATGCGTTTTACTCGGTGTTATAACGCATTCCCCAGAAGACCCGTGAACGGTGAAAAATGTTATCTTTGACCTGACCTGTGTCGTCATCAGTGACCCCGAGGTCAATGAAATTTGGTTCCCCTCAGCAAATTCGACAGAGCTATCGAAGGCCGTTTGAATTTTACGGATCCGTCTAGTAGTTTCGGAGATACGGGGGGGGGGGGCAAAAATGCCCTCCCCCACCGCGCGGAAGGTGGCCGGGATGCCCACCGCCTGCCGGGTTAAGCGTTATCACTGGCAGACTTTAAAAAAATATGATTGGTGGAAACTGAGAAAATTGTTTATCGTCAGTTACGTAGCAAATGAAAAGCTATCGGTCTAGCAAAGCTAAATGGCTAACATAAAGAAAGGAAAAGTGTGCCTGGTGCCCCCGAAGCACCAGACATCAAGCATCAAACATCAAACGTCAGAAGCGCTGACTTATTTCCATATGAGCCAGGGCCTCGGCTAAGGAATTTTGACTACTGGGGCAAATGGTCACAATGCACACTGCCTGGGGGTGTTTGAACACCCGTGCGGTGTTCGCCGATATCTCAAAAAACGGCGGCGCGGACCGCGCCTCTCGGCGCACCTTATCAGGTCTATCAATTCTACACATGTTGTAAAACTTTCAGCAGCCTCAATTACTCGCGACATTCCAATGTTCTGTCTTTTTTTTTGTAAAACTTTCAGACCAAGGACATTCAAGGTCAGGTCACCGATGAAAATATGCTTTCAGCTTGACGATACGGATCCACTGAGATGCAATATGACAATATCCGGTCAGATCATGACTTTGACCTGAGGTCAAATTTCCAAGTTGACCTTTCAAGGTCAAATTATAGTTCATTCGGTGCGTCTTGACAAGAGGAACACGATGTCGGTAAAAGAAAGCTCGTGCAAGGCTTGAGTATAATTTTATTGCAGAAATACTTCTCGAAAAATATTTTATTTGGCAGTGTTTGCTCCCTGCAGGCAAAACTGTTGACCTTAGGTCAAATTTGAGAAAATAACCAGAAAGAACGCTAATATAGCTACTAAATGCGCTTCTCCGCGGCGCTGTAGCTCTATTGGTTCCCGAGTTATGCGTCGGCAACTTGCAAACTGTCGATATTCGACCTGAAAATCGGCGAAATTTGGCTTTCAATGAACCCAATGACCTGAACTTTGACCCGACCAAAAAGTGGTCGAAGTAATTTCATTATTTTTGACGCTCTTTCGAACGAAGGGCAGCTTATGGATTATCCCTCGCCCGTATTGGTGTTTTTTTTTTTTTCAGCCGCGAAAGTATCGGGGGGGGGGGGGTCCGTTGGACTCCCCCCTTGCCGTTTCGCCCATGATCGAGCTAGAGCTTCGCGGAAAAATAACGAGCGTGTTGCCCGTGACGAGAGGAAACCGATGATAACCAACTTTAGGGACCTAGGTCCAGGTGAGGTCAATTACCCAAGGTCGGCAAAATCGGGACCTGTTAGAGCGTCGTAAAGGGTGGTCGTTATGAGGTTTTTCGAAGTGCTGATCACGAATATAATGTTAGTTATGATCATAGATGATGTCTTCGTGTATTTAGGCCAGGTCGGGTCAGGTCAACCAGTAAGGGTTTTGCCGGGTATTCGTAGGTAGTAGGTGGCAACCGCCCTTACAGCTTCGTAACATGTTACGAAGGCACCAAAACTACATCTTAAATGTTCAAATGGTTGCTAAATTCGAATTCAGCTCGAAAAACTAGCCTAGAAACATGTAAAACTCGAAAAAGTAAACCAAGGTCATCAAAAGTCAGTGACCTGACCTGACCTTCCGGTGACCTTGACACCCACCCTTGACCCTAATCCATGGGAGCAACATCAAATCCCATGTTTGAACGCTTGAAACCACGAAAAGACTGCAAACGTGCGGATAATGCGAGCCGACATACTGAATCGCGATTCCGGCCAAACATGGTCTCGAAAAGTAGGTCACAGGTCAAAGGTCTAAAGGTCAGGGTCATTAGATTTTCAGGGTAGGTGTAAAATTAATTATCACGAAGGTACTGAAAGTTTCGTCTTAATCGGCCGCTTTCTACGCGAGTTATTTGCGAAAATCGGGGGGGGGGGTCCGTTCGACCCCCCCCCCCTAATACAAGCAAGGGTTATGGGGGTGCAATAAGATATGTTTGTAAATGCAATGCACGCCTATGTTTTTGGATGGAAATTGAGGATGCAGCTGCTCACCATGCATCCCTCTTCCACCGCCCCTGGTTTCTTGCCACAAACGTGTTCTACCGCTCCCGAGTGAAAAAAATGTATGTACGTTTATATTGTAGATCAGCAATTGGCCATTTTTGAATAGAAATTAAAGCAACTTTACGTTTCACCATGTGTATTCATGGCTTCATCAGAAAATACAGGCCTCTCCGCTGCGCCGAATAATACGACATATAAACATAAAAATCACCAGAAGATAAAAAAGTACGTGCTCTAATTCCACTCCACTTCCTACCTAACTAAAATCTCTAGCCGAAGCACTGAAAATGATTAAACTAACATTTTTACATACAGCAACATACTTAAGAATTAGGCATATGCACTCGAGTTGTGCGGTGCAGCATACCACACAGGCATACTGGCATTGGAGCCGTGCGGCACAGCCTACCACCCAGGTGACTGCACAGTATACTCGTACATCGATACACTGATTTGGGCCACAGTTACAAGTCCGCGCTCCGGGGGGGGGGGGGCATGTGCACCCCATCTAGCCGAATCTTTTGTTAAGACCGGCCGTTCCATCATACGTGCCTAGAAGATGCATCCATCTCTTCTCTCTTACACGCCTGTAGTCCACGTTCTGCATCCACACTCTTTCCAGTCCCACCACGCGTAAATCGTCCACACTGTGGTCCGGAGTGCAGAAGTGGTGCCTCACCGGAAGCGCCACGGTCGGGTTGCTCACCCGTACGGATGATAGGTGGTTCTGTATACGGCCGTACAGATTTCCACCTGTCTCTCCCACGTAGCACACGCACTCACATACATTACACCATATTCCGTAAATAACATTTACACTTTTACACCCTATCGTCCTATCGTACGTCGTCACGCGCCCCTCCCCCGGTCCCCTCACGCGATCACTGCTTGAGTACATCCTTCTGCAAATGACACACTGTTTGCCGCAGCTCTCTGGTTTGCTATCGCCCTTCTTAGAAACAATACGCCTAGTTTTTGCATGTACTAAAATGTCACGTAGGTTCCTACCTCGTTTGTATGCTACCATAGGCTGACCTGGAAAGACTTCGCGTAGCCTATGCGATCTGTGGAGTAGGTGCTGCTTCTTTGCGAGTACCGTCCTGATATTCGGTAGGAATTTGGAGTACGTGACCGCCATAGGTACTCTCCCCTCAGTTTTGTTGGACGGTCGGTCAGAAAGAAGCTGTTCCCTATTTACTGAATCAAGCTTTTTAAACTCCCTATCTACTACTGTTTGAGGATATTCTCTCTCAAGAAGACGTTTCTTGAGGTTATCTTTGTGTTTGCTAAAATCTGTCTCGTTCGTGCAGATTCTCTTTATCCTAAGACCCAAGCCATAAGGGACTGCCTTTTTTGTGTGAATCGGGTGGTCAGAATCAAAGTGTAAGTACGATTTCGAGTCTGTTGACTTCACATGCAAATCTGTGGACAAACGGCCATCCGTCCCTAATTGGACCAGCACATCAAGGAACTCTATTTGCGAGTGAGAGGTCCTGAGGTCCACTTGGATTCTGGGATGGATTTGGTTAGCCCGCTCATGAAAACGGACTAATTCTTGTTCACCATGGAGCCAGATGCCAAATATGTCGTCTATATAGCGCCAATATATCAATGGTTTGAGAGAAGCGTGACTCAAAAGTTTGAGTTACTCAAAAGCGCCTCAAAAGTTTGAGGCGCTATATAGACGACATATTTGGCATCTGGCTCCATGGTGAACAAGAATTAGTCCGTTTTCATGAGCGGGCTAACCAAATCCATCCCAGAATCCAAGTGGACCTCAGGACCTCTCACTCGCAAATAGAGTTCCTTGATGTGCTGGTCCAATTAGGGACGGATGGCCGTTTGTCCACAGATTTGCATGTGAAGTCAACAGACTCGAAATCGTACTTACACTTTGATTCTGACCACCCGATTCACACAAAAAAGGCAGTCCCTTATGGCTTGGGTCTTAGGATAAAGAGAATCTGCACGAACGAGACAGATTTTAGCAAACACAAAGATAACCTCAAGAAACGTCTTCTTGAGAGAGAATATCCTCAAACAGTAGTAGATAGGGAGTTTAAAAAGCTTGATTCAGTAAATAGGGAACAGCTTCTTTCTGACCGACCGTCCAACAAAACTGAGGGGAGAGTACCTATGGCGGTCACGTACTCCAAATTCCTACCGAATATCAGGACGGTACTCACAAAGAAGCAGCACCTACTCCACAGATCGCATAGGCTACGCGAAGTCTTTCCAGGTCAGCCTATGGTAGCATACAAACGAGGTAGGAACCTACGTGACATTTTAGTACATGCAAAAACTAGGCGTATTGTTTCTAAGAAGGGCGATAGCAAACCAGAGAGCTGCGGCAAACAGTGTGTCATTTGCAGAAGGATGTGCTCAAGCAGTGATCGCGTGAGGGGACCGGGGGAGGGGCGCGTGACGACGTGCGATAGGACGATAGGGTGTAAAAGTGTAAATGTTATTTACGGAATATGGTGTAATGTATGTGAGTGCGTGTGCTACGTGGGAGAGACAGGTGGAAATCTGTACGGCCGTATACAGAACCACCTATCATCCGTACGGGTGAGCAACCCGACCGTGGCGCTTCCGGTGAGGCACCACTTCTGCACTCCGGACCACAGTGTGGACGATTTACGCGTGGTGGGACTGGAAAGAGTGTGGATGCAGAACGTGGACTACAGGCGTGTAAGAGAGAAGAGATGGATGCATCTTCTAGGCACGTATGATGGAACGGCCGGTCTTAACAAAAGATTCGGCTAGATGGGGTGCACATGCCCCCCCCCCCCGAAGCGCGGACTTGTAACTGTGGCCCAAATCAGTGTATCCATGTACGAGTATACTGTGCAGTCACCTGGGTGGTAGGCTGTGCCGCACGGCTCCAATGCCAGTATGCCTGTGTGGTATGCTGCACCGCACAACTCGAGTGCATATGCCTAATTCTTAAGTATGTTGCTGTATGTAAAAATGTTAGTTTAATCATTTTCAGTGCTTCGGCTAGAGATTTTAGTTAGGTAGGAAGTGGAGTGGAATTAGAGCACGTACTTTTTTATCTTCTGGTGATTTTTATGTTTATATGTCGTATTATTCGGCGCAGCGGAGAGGCCTGTATTTTCTGATGAAGCCATGAATAGACATGGTGAAACGTAAAGTTGCTTTAATTACGTTTATATTGATATATTCTTATTTTGTGGAGGTTGGGCAAAATCTGACCACTACTGGGGCATTCCTTGACGCTACTGGGGCATTTGCCCCAGTAGTTAACATGTTAGCCGAGGCCCTGATATGAGCACAATTGTTGCTTGTTTGTTCGTTAACAACAGCGTCACCAATCACCATGCATAACAGCCATCATGTCCAATCAAGTTTCAAGGCAGGATCTTTAATTTCAAGTTTTTTTTTTCTTCTCCAGAGTTTCTTCACCTTTCATGACTTCAATGGCCCAGAGGATAGACCGCTTGAAGAGTCACATCCCTCGCCGGCTCTTTCTCACTCACCTCGCAGTCCTATAAGGCCGCCGGTGACGGCGCCGGCGTAGGTGCCGTTTCGTAGGTCATCCTTGGCGCGGTACTGCAACGACAGCGCATGCCAGTCATTGAGCTGGGCGGCGTCGGCACTGGGCACAGGCAGGGTTGTTAAAAACCCAGGGTTTTTCATGGGTTTTGGTGGGTTTTTGGTATTTTTGGTGGGTTTTTCGTGTTTTTTTTTTGGTGGGTTTTTGATATTACTGGAGGCTTTTTGATATTTTTGTTCACACTTTGGTTGTTTTAGCTGTGATGTTTCATTAGGCCCTATGATCGTTGCAACCACGGTGGCTAAAGATAGTTGCAACTAATTTTACCAGACGTGTTCTATAGCAATGTTTGTACCGTGGTTGCCATGGAGACCTGTTCAGTTTCATTGGTTTGTTACGGGGTTGCTATAGAAACCTGAGTTCATAGAACAGCCCAAGCAAATACCGTTGCCTAGCAACCTCTTCGTCGGTCGCACTTCCGCCGCGCTGGGAGGGAGCGCACGGATGCGTAAAAGTGATAATGCCGCCGAAACCACAGTATAAACGCTGTTTTAACCGAGTTTCAGAGTCGCCTTTCTTGCCCTGCCATCCGAAATTTTGACTACTTATGCATATTTTGGACACGGAAATCGCTACAGGAGACATTGATGAATGTGTCGGTGTCCAGTTTTCCACGAAGCTATGCGCAGATCAGGCCACAGGCGTTCTTGAATATCGCGGATGTTCCCGATCTTCAGCACGTAAATGCCCTCGGGTGTTCTCTTGGTTTGGCGACGTAGGTACGGGAGCAGCCAGACTGGTAGGTATGAACTAAACTTTGTCCCCCCCCCCCTGCCCCAGCCTAGCCGGCGGCCCGCTGCATCTCGCGCCTTATGTTGCAGGGCGTCTATAACACGAGGCGCGCCCGGCAGCCTCCGCCGAGAGCAGCGCTGACACCACACCACATAATTGCAGATTCCCGCCAATCCAGAGGAGTGGTCGACCTCATCCAGTCCACGTACTGGTGCACATGGACAACGAAACATTTTACTATTGTTTCCTATTAGTTGCTTGCTTCAGTTCCCATTCTAAATATAAAAGCAGCTTAGAAACCCAAAAACCCACCAGGTTGGGTTTTTACTTATAACAGGCATTGATTCAGCGTCTCTGTAACACACTTTAAGATGCTAGCATAAATTAAACATTGAATTAGGCCCAAAGCATGAAATACTGAAATGTAGAAGTGATTGTGGTGATCGAAACAATTCAAAGTTAAGGCAAAAACCCACCCTGGGTTTTTGCTTTCAATTACCCACCCAAAAACCCAAAAACCCAGTGGGTTGGGTTTTTGCTCGTAACAACCCTGGGCACAGGCCGGGGTGGGGGAGGAGGGGCCAGACGGCGCCCGGCCGCGACCCTCGGAGGACGACGAGCAGGTCGATCGTAACGCTGAGCACACTAGGCTGCTATTGTCCTCCGGACGCGACGGGAGGGTGCCTCATTGTGGTTGCAATTGGGGCTCCAGGGTTTTCGGTTTCGATCACGGTTTTGGGAGATTGGGTTGTGCTTGTAGTTATAAATGGACAAGTATTGTATCGAGAGTAAATGAACCTCCAGGCTCCACGAATCAAACTATTAAAACAGTTACATTAAAGGAAAAGGGCCACCTTCGTGAAATATGAAGATATCGTTGTTTTTCATTTTGACATTATTATTTTTCATTTTCTTTTTAAAACTGGTGCCAGAAGTGCACAATTCGCGAAAAAGTATTTAAAACTATTTAACATATTGGTACTATGTTGATACTCTCTACGGCACCTACTGTATGATGGCATAGCGATGACGTCACACTCAAGCCAATCAGCGTTCAGAAGACAGACTCGTCGGATTGTGTCAGATAAGCTGATTGGTTAAAGCTGAGCTGGTTGGAGCTGATTGGTAAAAAACCAAAGCCTCGCCGCGGGTGGCTGTATTGTCGGATAAGAACGCATTCCTGGGATAAGGACGCATTCCTGGCGTATTTTCTTTTAAAATTGCCGATAACTACGAATGGAGGCCGAAATCGGCCGTAAGGAGGTAGACAGACAGGTTTTCGGACACGGGCTACAAGATGGCTATCTCAGTTTCAATCCCCATGTTAAAGGTGGCCCTTTTCCTTTAAAGGCGTACCGGTTTCGTCTATTGACTTCTTCAGCGCCGTTGATTCAGGTTGCCATGGTAACGGGGCAAATTTGGCATGAGTACGCATCTAATAGCTCATTTTTCAACAAATTATTTTAAAAAGCAAAAGACTTGTCGGACCACTACTAAAATGAATTGCAGTTTTTATAAACGATCCGAGTTTTAATCAGACTGGCCTACATAATGTCAAAATCAAGTCCTAAACTGAACGGCCCGTGCTGCTATATGTTACGCTCTGGCCCCAAAAGTCGTCACTGGCTTATCAGCCAATGAGCGTCGAGTATTGACGTACGCTGATTGGTGGGATTACTGCATTTGTTGTTAGAATGCTCACGGTGCTGACAGCGCTAACGAAGGTGTCTCCAATTTTCGTAATGTTAAAAGCCCGGAGCGCACCCCCTGAAACGAACTATCGAAAAGTCGTTCATGTTTTGGTCGTAGAAGTAAAAGGGACTCCACCAAAAGACAGCTCAAGGCAGTAATCATACCCCCCTCCCCCCCGTAGGGCGTGTTATACGCAGACCCCAGTGGGGCGCGGGTTAATATTGCTTGCTGTTTTAAAGTACCATGAACCCATGGCAGATTCACAGCTGTTTATTAGGTCGAACGTTTGATACGATTTTAGCAGATAGCGGTAAGTCTTCTCGGATGCATCATATCACCTATTTTAGGGCCTTGGCATCACAATCATCAGCTGTATTTGGCATATGTTGAGGTTTGACGAGTTGGGTATCATTGATACTCTGAGACATTGGGTTACACAATCGTCACTACCCTTAACAATACACAATGTCTTCATGAAAAATGTACGGCCCTCCAGCAAAAGAGTGGTTGGTTAGCCTATTTGCTTTTGATGTACCTAATAACTTTGAATGACAGAGACGCTCCTGTAAAAAGAGTCAATAGAAATGAGAAGAGGGTTCGTGCACACACTTCGGCAATGGTTTTCAACAGCCATTAGACGTACTCATCAATGCAGATCGCTTATTGTGATGTTGGCAACCAACCACTAAATACCTGGAGGGCCGTACTTAGCCCATAAGTATAACGTTAGTTACGATATATTCCGTTGCAGTTTTTTAAAACTTCCTCCATGTTAAGCTGCAGGTAGGGGTGCTTTCTGTATAACTGAAATTGTGTTTTTGCTGTATTTCACATTTAATGCCAAATTTCTTTCAAAACTTTTCAAAATTTTCAAAAAACGTTACCAATGGCATTCATCGTTCAATTCCACATCAGCCTGAGCAAAAAATGAAAAAAATCAAACGGTTTTCATGGCACAGCGATTTCACTAAACCACTGCAATACTGTCTCAAATAGCCCCACTTTACGGTACTTAAACAACCTATAGTTGGTTTGTTTTAAGTTTGACCCACACTGTAAGCATCTTTTTTTAACACAGCACGAGAATTACTGCCTGAATTAGGTACAGAGAAAACTGGTCAGCCGCACAATCACTACGTTTCCATGACATGTCTAAATCGATTTAGAGAAATGTCACGTGCGTTTTTCTCGGATAGGTACTATTCACCTTATGCAAAAAAACGAGCGTAGATATGGTTTTAGCGTGGTTTTAGCTAGCACCTAATCCTATATTTACATTTTTAAATGCTGCCTTAATATTATGATGGAGCAAATCCATTTTGCAAAATCGGCTTAACTTGTGTCATGGAAACGTAGCCATTGTATTGCAGATGTTAATATTTTCCAAAATTTGAGCACCGATGATGTACCGTTATGTTAAACGCGGTGCGATTTATTCAGTTCAGTTATCATTCCTGACAAATCGTCTATCCCTGTGGCCCCTGTGGGGTTGTAAATATGGGCAAATACGGGCAGACAGTCTGGGAACTAGGAGCCAGGAAAACATAATTTTGATAAAGTTGATCGTCAGTGAAATTCAATATGCGCCAACCACTTTTTCTCAGTAATTCAGCTAGCAATTCTCGTGCTGTGTTCAAAGACACTTTTACAGTGAGGGTCGAACTTAAAATAAAATACTACAGACAACTATATTTTACTTTAGTTCGACCCTCACTGTAAATATCTTTTTGAACATAGCGCGAGAATTGCTCCCTGAATTGCTTAAAAACTGGTTAGCGCACATTGTATTGGAGATATGAATGATATTTTCCAAAACAAGTTTTGAACGCCAATGATACTACCTTTCTGTAAACGAAATGCGATTTATGAATTAGTTCAGTTACCACCCCTGACAAGTTGTCTATCCCTGTGGGGTTGTATATATAGGCAAATACAAGCTACGAGTCTGGGAAATAGAAGCTAGGAAGAAATAATTTTGAATAAAGTTAATCGTCTGTGACATCGATGTGCGCCGACGCTAGCAATTCCCGTGCTGTGTTCAAAAAGACGATTACAGTGAGGGTCGAACTAAAAAAAAACGAACTATAGAAGTTTTTATTACATATCATTAGAATCAGCAGTGCTTGAGCAATCCAACAATAGCGGAAACAGGCCCATGCCTTTCAGTTCGTCAAACCCTGGCAATCCCTTTAAAACAACCAACACACTCACAGTACACATGCCACCATACTGTGCACTGTGCAGTCACAATAACCATACTCACCGATTCTATACAACACTCCACACCAGCAAACATGAGACCGATCATGCCAAAGTTCTTGGCATACTGCAGCATGGCTGTTCGCATTTCTACCAGAACCTGGTGGCAGCGATTCAGCTATATCACCATTCACCAGGCACATTGTACACTGTACAGTGCGCACACGAGCTCCATGGTAACAGTGCCAGTGAATAACGCATAAGCCATAATTCAAAAATATGCTGCACTGAATGAATAGGGGGACCGACAAGACAGGTTAACTCTAAATCAGCCATGTGGACAGAACCGTGAAAATGGATCTGGGATCTGATCCCTCGCATATTCACATCAGATCTAGTGTGATCAAAGATCCAGTTCTCTCTTTTGTCGTGATATCTGTTTAGCATCATATATTGAGATCTATTTTTGTCAAGAGATCCGATGAGATCATGGATTGTTACTTAATTTTCGTCGACAGAAGTCCTCAAGGAACTATTAATTCGCAATAGTGCCGTTCTAGGGACCTTATGTGATCGCACATCGTTATTCATAATTTTGTGGCACTTACGGACAAAGAACAACCTGAAAACATGGCTTCACAAGTTATGTGTGTTGGGATACACTCGAATCACAGATCCCCATACATGGTATGTAGTCAGATTCTATGAAATCATACATCCATAACATGTTTTCCACATGGGACCCAATAGGATCAGAAAACTTTGTCGATTCTTTGAGATCCATTGAATCATATTTCTATCACTCGCATTCATGCACATCTGATCAAAATCATTAAATGATTGCACTAGTCTCAAATGGAGCAGCCACTGAGAAACTGTATAATGCAGACATTACGTATATACCGGGTGGCCCAAAAAAAACGTTCCGAACTTTGGAGGCCTATATCTCAAATTCGAGTGCACATAACGAGCCAAAATTTTCATCAGGTTTGCGTCACTTCTTTGCGCATTGGTATGCCAAATTATAACACTGTACCATCATTTTCAAGCCAGCAATCTTATGTTGAATTAAGTAAGACGTTTTTGCTTTTTTTGCCGTTGTTGAACGGAAGTAATGATTGGCTTAGACGTACCATGTTAGAAAAATACAAAAAATAGAACAACGTGAATGATACCAGCGCGCGTGTTGCTATTTTAGATATTTTAATTTGTCACACTTATGTGCCAAATATTCAAATACTAAGCCAAAGTCGTGTTAATGGATGCCATTCGTTTCAACAATCAACACAAGTCCTGTTTCGAGGCGAAGCCGAGTGGCACGGTGCATGGGTTACTGCTGATCGCCCTCCCTTCAAGAAGATCAAATAGTAAATCGACCGAATAAGGAAAAAAGCTAGAGGGAATGTGTCACCCTGAGGCCTTAACCACCAATGAGACTAGTTGCCAGTAGCAGTCATGGCTGTAGGCCGTGGTGCCGAGATGGAAGTGGCCCGTTCACTCACATTTTTGGTAAACATCAGAGCAAAAAAGTGATTTTTACATGGCATGCTAGAAACAAGAACCGTTTAAAAAGTAATTGACCGAATAACATGAAAATCATACCATTCACTGAAAATATATGTCACATTGACTATTGGAAGTTTCAATGTTGTATCTTTATCACTTTCTGAGAAATGTTCATTTAAAATTGGGAACGTTTTTTCTGGGCCACCCGGTATGTGAACGATGGATGCACTTATAAAGAGAGAACAAAACCTCCATTTTTAACACTCGGCCCTATCGGCGTTTTTGCCATTAACCAAGGGTCGGTTACCTTTTTTTTGGGTGCGCGCCGGATATGAGATTTGGAAGCAGTCGGCAGTCCGCAAGTTCATAACTTTACCAGGGGCGGCTCCAGAGCACTGGGAATTGGGGGGTCCTATTCGTGAAGCGAGTCATTTGGGCGAAGATCACGATGCTGCACCAGTTTTACGAACAGTGAATGAAAGGTATCATGTGATAACATATACAGTTATTGTGCATCCTCTTTTGACACGTTTTTGCTATAATAGGCGGATCCAGGCGTCCAAAAAGGGGGTTATGTTTTACCTCCCAACATAGGTGCCCTGACACCGCCTATGGATGACCAATACAATTGTAGTCGTTCTCTCATAAGAAAATTGTAACATAATAAGACCATTACCACCCTTTTTAGAAACAGTACCAACAAAAACCTTATTTACTATACTTTTTGTGTACCCCCAATCTCAATGATCTGTATCCGCCTATGATTTTTGAAAATGCATATTTTTAGGATCCATGTGAATTCCTGGTTCATTCTCTATCGATCGGCAAAAGTTGCGTTAAGATTGGTTCAGAAACCTGGCCGTGATAAACAGTCTAAAATGTATCTGCAATTTGCCCGTTTTTACCCCCCTCTACCCCCCTATTGACATTTTTTAATTTTTATTTTTTAGAAATGTAGATCACGTTGAGCGAAATCGAATGCCGTTTGAATTTTGAAAATCGGCCGGTTAGATCTCGAGATATCAAGGGGGGTCGTAAACAGCCCCCCCCCCTGCCACTAATAGGGGTAGCCAGGAGCCTGCCACTAATTATAGGGTTAAGACGGACTCTGACGAAGGAAGAGGCGAGTTTAAAAATAGAAGGAATGTTTGCATCTATTTTATAATGTGATCATATACCAGCTCGCCTCTATATTATCATTCTGTTTCTAGGCATATGAAATGTGTGTAGGAAGAAATATTGTGCCAACACACACTTATATGTAGTCACTTTGGTACGGAGAAAGTTTATTTTTTAGAGAACCGTGGGCCAGAACACGATGTTGATTGCTGATACCGGCCGCGGGCCGGATGTCCGATGGTTCGTGGGCCGGATTCGGCCCGCGGGACGTAGGCTGTCGACCCCTGCCATTACCGGATGGGGGAGAGGGGGAGGGGGCCAGTTGGACCAGGGCTGCGGAGTCGGAGTAAGTCGGAGTCGACATTTCTGACCGGAGACGGAATCGAAGTCAGTGTCGATTTTAGACCCCGGAGACGGAGTCGGAGTCGACGAAAATCCATCGACTCCGCAGCCCAGCGTTGGACCGTCCACCCCCCCCCCCCTCCCAAACCCACCACCATCCAATCGATCGACCCCTGATCGCGCTGGAATTTCGCAGCAAAAACGGGCGTTTTGTCCGTGACGACAGGAATCCGAGGATACCTAATCTTAACCCGCGCCGGGCCGGTGCTCTGAGATTCCGCGCCGGGCCGGGGGGGGGGGTGTCTGAACACCCCCCCCCCCCTTCTAACTCGGCTCCTGGGCCACGTAGGGACACGCGGTAAGCGGCAATCGAAAGAACGCCCAAAATAAGGACGAAAATACTTCGGTCATTTTTTGGGTCAGGTCAAAGGTCAGGTCACCATAGGTCACCAAAGGTAAAATGTTCACTATTTCAACATTTTGGAAACTGCCAACGGCTATCTCGTCTGGTCCGGTCAGGTGAGTCGAGTCGGTCAAATATCATGCATCCCGCCAGCTTAGTACCCATAGTAGGTAAATCTGTATTTTCACTACGCAGCATTTTGCATTGGCGCCCCAAACTAGTTTTTCCAGACGTTCAAATGAGTGCGAAATTTAAAATCAGGTAGCTCCAAAACATACCTACCCTAAAAAGTTGTTAAACTAGAAAAAGTTGACTGAGGTTAGCTATGGTCAACTACATTGACCTGACCTTAACCCGCGCCCTGCTGGGGGGGGGGTGTTTGAACACCCCCCCTTGTGGTTTTTCGCGAATATCTCAAAAACGGCGGCGCGGAGCGCCGCCGTTTTTGGTACACCTTATCATACATCAATTCTACACATGTTGTGAAAATTTCAGACCAAGGTCATTCAAGGTCAGGTCACCAGGTCACTTGAAGTGACCTCACCTCATAAAAAATTTCAATGTCTGTCATAGCTACACCGAGTGACCGATCGCTTTGAAACTTTCAGCGATAGCTAAGAGCAATAGCATGTACAAAATGTATATCTCAGAATTTTGATATCGATGACCTAAGGTCAGGTCAATTTTGCGACCTCCCCATTATAAGTCAATGGGAGAAAATTGAAATGCGCCTCTTTTGGATGATTGACATTATAAACACTCCCAAACACCGAATTACAAGTGGTTTAGACACACTGAACTTGAAAATGGTGTCCGTGACCCTTGTTTATGCCCTGAGGTCATCTTAGGTCACGAATGGTATCTAACAGTTTTTCGCAAATAACTTTTGATAGAGGCATGCTAGAGCGATGAAAACGACTTAGATGTGTTCAGCTCGACGATACGGATCGACTGATATGCAACATGACCCTTTCCGGTCAGGTCATGACCTTGACCTGAGGTCAAATTTTCAAGTTGACCTTTCAAGGTCAAGTTATAGTTTATTCGATGCGTCTTGACGAGAGGAACACGATGCCGGTAAAAGTAAGCTCGTACAAGGCTTGGGTCAAAAGTAATTGCAGAAAAACTGTTTTCGAAAAAATCGGTTATTTTTGCAGTTTTTGCCCCCTGCAGGCAAAACCGTTGACGTTAGGTCAAATCTGAGAGAATTACTCAGAAAGGGCGTTAATAGGGCTATCGAATGCGCTTTTCCGCGGCGCTGTAGCTCTATTGGTTCCCGAGTTATGCGTTGGCTTCTTGGAAATTTTCGACATTCGACCTGGAAATCGGCGAAATTTTGCCTTCAATGACCTCTGGTGACCTGACCTTTGACCTGACCAAAAAATTGACCGAAGTGATTTCGTCATTATTTTTTACGCTCTTTCGAACGCCGCCTTCCGCGTATCGCTACGTGGCCCAGGAGCCGAGTTACAAGGGGGGGTGTTCAAACACCCCCCCCCCCAGCAGGGCGTGGAAATCCAGGACCCCCAGCAGGGCGCGGGTTAAAGCAGGGCTGCGGAGTCGGAGTCGGAGTCGGAGTCGGAGTCGGTCGGAGTCGACAGTTGTGACCGGAGTCGGAGTTGGAGTCGGAGTCGATTTTAGAAACCCGAGCCGGAGTCGGAGTCGGAGTCACCGAAAATCTGTCGACTCTGCAGCCCTGCTAGGTCTGCGGAGTCGGAGTTGGAGTCGGTCGGAGTCGACAATTCTGCCCGGAGTCGGAGTCGGAGTCCGAGCTGGTTTTTGAAAGCCGGAGTCGGAGTCGGAGTCGCCGAAAATCCATCGACTCCGCAGCCCTGCCTTAAAGTGACATTGATATCCATCATAACATATGGAGCACAGACTGGTTTTTGATTCACCTTTTTTGGATCGATTCAATCATTGATTCATTTGATTTTTGTTTGATTCAATCACCGTTTCATTCCTTAAAAAAATTGGTGAATCGATTCCTTTTGATTCAGAGAATCAAAAAACAATAAAAGAATGATTCGCGTTTGATTCAGCCAATTTTTTTTTTTGAATGATTCTTTTTTGATTCAATTAAAAAATAAAATATACAAAATATCAGGGATAGTATTGTATTTGTTGTGTTCGTTTTGTTGTCATGTAATTGAACAAGTGTTAATATTTGTTGATAATGAACTATGTTCGCTCACTTTAATTTTTTTTAAGTTCATGAATCATTAATTTTTTTGATTCAATCAACCCTGATTCCCAATGCGTTTGATTCAATCAGGGCTTGTGAATCAAACAATCCTGACGGTGAATCAAACCTTTTTGATTCAACAAATTTTGTTTGATTCAATCCAATCGATTCAATCACAGATGAATCAAACACCAGTCTGATGGGGCAAGCATAATTTCACATGCTGGCACGTTTCTAATCACAAGAAAGTCTGGGAACGCATGGAAAATGTGCGCTAACATGCAGAACCGCCATTTTGACCTGACATTCTTTAATCCATAATTGATCTAATGCATTAGCTCCAAACTATTCCAGGATACTGGATACCTCTCTTGCAGTCTGACTCTTCAATTCAGCTCCAGTTATTGATGGGTTCACACTGGATGTGAAGAGACCCAGAGCTCCACCTAGGCCAAACCCTGGAGAGAAAAAACAAAGAGAGTAAAAAATGAGACAGCAGTGACAGTATTTCTAGGAAACAAGCATCTAAAAAGTATCTGTCTCCTACTTCATCTGCTCAATTTATAACTTCCTAACTAACACGCATACTCCTAGGGGGCGTTCCACGACAGATCGACAAATAAAAACCTAAATCTGCACCCACGTATTTTATTTTTCGTTTAAAACTGGTCCAAGGGGTTGTGATGGGCGGGAAAACCAACTGTGGCAAGATTTTTTTTTCTTCGAACAACGGTTTCCGATATATAGCCTCGGGCAATTCCTGGAGGTCACGCTGCAACCCTATGTTTGGCAGCTTATAACTCAGAAACTATTGGTTTTCTATGATAAAAACTGACAACTGTATATGGTTCAAATCTCAATCAACAAACGAACATTTTGGCTAGCTCGGATGTTCAATTTTAAAATTTTGATCACGTGACCTTTTGACCTATTGTTCGAAGAGTGACCTTGACAGTTTCCCCACTGAAAGTTGCAATTTCGTCTGTTGACTATTAAAGCCTTATCACTTGTCATTTATATGCGATAATAAAAGTGGCTATCGCCCTGCGTTGACCTCAGGTCAGGTCATTATTTGACTTGTCCATTATTACGAGCGGGTGCGACAGCGAGATCTCGAGAACAAAGCGATATAGCGACAAGCGGTAAACGGCACAGGGTACACACGGATAGGTCTACAATTTTTACTGAGGTCATTTTCAGGTCAGGTCAAAGATGACGTCACAGGGGTAAAAAGGAAGTCGAAATAGCGCACTACATATATATGAATTTTTCTCGAATAAGTTTAACAGTATCTCAGCTAGGAACAAACTAATAACACCATCGCGATCCTCTCGTCGATCCGCATCGAAACATATGTATGTTGACCTCAAAAGGTCAGAGTCAAAAGTTGATCTTAGGTCACGTGACCTAAGGTCATCATATATCATTCGATGCGCCTTGACGAGCTGAGCACAATGAGCCCATCCGCGCATCTGTATCTCGAACCTGTAAGGAGTTATAAGCAAAAAAAAAATATTTGGTGACCTTCAATGACGTCACATGATTACGAGCGAGCGAGCGCAGCGAGCGAAGTGATTCTTTTCAATATAACGAAAAAATATCAGTATGAGCGGCCCGGCCACGCCCGGCCTGTAACGCTTTTGAGAGGCTTATATCTCAGCAACCGCTAGACCGATTGGCCTGCGGTCTTTTTTGCTGGGTAGCCCCATCCCTTCCACCCCGTAATTAACTACTTTTGATACGTCTCAATGACCGTCGTGGCACGTGCCACGTGAAAAGTCAAGGGTGTTCAAGCTGTTTTGCAAAAGCAGTGGTTTTGAGAGGCTCATATCTCAGCAGCCGCTTGGGCGATTGTCTACCCCCACTGCACGTGCAAAATGCAAAAAGAAGAGGTGCCAAATTTGTTCCCATTTCAATAACTCGGTAATTACTGGGGCGATTTCGCTGAAACTTGGCATACAGGTGGCACCCACCAGGCAATACAATCCCATGTGTTGCGGTTAAGGTGCTACTGCACGTGCGCACGTGCAGGGGGCGCTTCCTTGAAAATCAAAGTACAAGTTTGGGGGTGAGACTAAATGCTTACTTCGAAATCTAAGCTGTGTTGCGGCATTGGCGGTTATGTGCGGCGTGTATGCCGCATGATTAGTAGGCGGCGACCACTAAATTAAAGACTTAAACGCTCCAACCTGTTTTCAATGAATAACACTGCATACCAAAAATGCCAATCGCTCTCGTCGTAAGATATTTAGATTTAAATAACTAAGTTATCTGCATCATCATTTTGAACCAAATTAATGCTTTCAACTTAGTACTCACTCATTCCTTCCTTCGTTGGCTCCAAACAGTCTTTCGATTGTCTGGAAATCGTATGCCAAATCCCGCACCTGTATACGACTGGTGCATATAAAGGCCGATGTAAGAATTTCAATAGGCTCTCGCATGCGATTTCCTGGCTACCCAAAAAGTCTGTTTCAGTCATGCTATCAAAACATGGTATGTCAGCCCTGTCACCAGCTTATGACTGCTCTGCTTGTAGTGCCCCTGACCGTCACCGACCCCCTTCCTTCCTTAAAAGCCTAGTTTCCCTCCATCATCTCTACTAGATTTAGGTAATGCTCCGACAAATTCACAAACAAGACCGAACTTGTTCGGAGTTCTGACTGTCAGTTAACCCTCGCCCTTTAAGGGGGGGGGTCGAACGGACTCCCCTCGGTTTTTCGCGAATAACTCGCGTAAAAAGCGGCCGATCACGACGTTACTTTTAGTACCCTCGCGTTGATCAATTTTACACCTACCCTGAAAATTTCATGACCCTGACGCAAATAACCTTTGACCTGTGACCTACTTTTCGAGACCATGTTTGGCCGGAACCGCGATTCAGCGTATGTCGGCTCGCATTAGCAGCGCGTTTGCAGTCTTTTCGTAGTTTCAAGCGTTCAAACATGTGATACCAGTATAACGCCTTTTGGGGCGACTAACGGAGCGAGCGAGAGGGTGGGCCTTGCACGTGCGAAATTGCGAGGGGGTACCTCCAACTGACTTGTGCACGGCACCCTACTAACTGGTCTCTAGCGATGTGCCAAATTTGGGCACAATCGGCCCAGCCGTTCTCGAGATCTGGAAGCGGCACCCTGCACGTGCGCACGTGCAAAATGGGTCCCAACTGACTTGTGCACGGCACCCTACTAACCGGTCCCTAACCGTGTACCAAATTTGAGCGCAATCGGTCCAGCCGTTCTCGAGATCTGGAAACGACCCCTGCACGTGCGCACGTGCAGCAGCACCCCATTTCTGGCACATGTATATGCAGTGCCTAGTGGGTGCCTACCTACATGCCAACTTTCAGCGCAATCGGCCAAGTAATTACCGAGATATTGCAACAATTACAAAACTGACACCTCTTCGTTTTGCACGTGGCACGTGCATAAGGGGTAACCCACATGCATCGGGAATAGTCCAATACTTGGAAGAAGGAATGAAGCTACCCTACAAAAATTACCCCGTGTAAATCGGTCAAGTGGTTGCTGAGATATAAGCCTCGCAAAAGCGTGACCACGGCCGGCCGGCCGGCCGGCCGGCCGGCCGCTCATACTCAGAAATTTCCGTTAATCTAAGGAAAGACTACGCTCGCTTCGCTCGCTCCGTAATGATGTTGCCCCATGCATTAGGGTGGGTGTCAAGGTCACCTGAAGGTCAGGTCAGGTCACTGACCTTTGGTGACCTCGGTTCACTTTTTCGAGTTTGACATGTTTCTAGGCCAGTTTTTCGAACTGAATTCGAATTTAGCAGCCACATGAACGTTTACAAAGTAGTTCTGGTGCCTTCGTAACATGTTACGAGGCTGTCAGAGGCGGTTGACACCTACTACAAATACCCGGCAGGACCTCTACTGGTTGACCTGACCTGACCTGACCCGACCAGGCCTAAATGAATGAAAACATCTGTGATCAAAACTAGCATGATATTCGTGATCAGCACCCCGAAAAAAACCCATAGCAGCCACACTACGACGTTCTAACAGGTCCCAATTTTCCCTGACCTGACCTGGAAGGTCAACCGATGACCTAGGACCTTAAAATTGGGTATCATCGGCTTCCTCTCGTCACGGGCAACACGCTCGTTTTTCCGCGAAGCTCTAGCTTGATCAGGAGCGAAACGGCAAGGGGTTATACCTTATACGTTCGCGGCTGGAAAAACACCAATACGGGCGAGGGTCAAGTTGAAAGTATTAATTTGGCTCAAAACGATGATGTAGATAAGTTAGTTATTTAAATCTAAATATCCTACCAGTATAACGCCTTTTGGGGCGACTAACGGAGCGGGCGAGAGGGTGACCCTTGCACGTGCAAAATTTCGAGGGGGTACCTCCAACTGACTTGTGCACGGCACCCTACTAACCGGTCTCTAGCGATGTGCCGAATTTGAGCACAATCGGCTCAGCCGTTCTCGAGATCTGGAAGCGGCACCCTGCACGTGCGCACGTGCAAAATGGGTCCCAACTGACTTTTGCACGGCACCCTACTAACTGCTCCGTAACCGTGTACCAAATTTGAGCGCAATCGGTCCAGCCGTTCTCGAGATCTGGAATCGACCCCTGCACGTGCGCACGTGCAGCAGCACCCCAACTCTGGCACATGGATATGCATTGCATAGTGGGTGCCTACCTACATGCCAACTTTCAGCGCAATCGGCCAAGTAGTTACCGAGATATTGCAACAATTGCAAAAGTGACACCTCTTCGTTTTGCACGTGGCACGTGCATAAGGGGTCACCCACATGCATCGGGAATAGTCCAATACTTGGTAGAAGGAATGAAGCTACCCTACAAAAATTACCGCATGTAAATCGGTCAAGTGGTTGCTGAGATATAAGCCTCGCAAAAGCGTGACCACGGCCGGCCGGCCGCTCATACTCAGAAATTTCCGTTAATCTAAGGAAAGACTACGCTCGCTTCGCTCGCTCCGTAATGACGAGAGCGATGGTCATTTTTGGTATGCAGTGTTATCCATTGAAAACAGGTCAAAGCTATTGAGTTTTTAATTTAGTGGTCGCCGCTTACTAATCATGCGGCATACACGCCGCACATAACCGCCAATGCCGCAACGCAGCTTGGATTTCGAAGTAAGCATTTAGTCTCCCCCAAGTTTGGTACCCTCAGGGTATCTAAAGCAGCTGTTCACGAGCGTGTAAACCAAAAATGAGCCTGATCTGACTTGTAAGACGGCGGCCAGAGCCCAAATTGTGAACAAGCCAAACAACGATAATTTTTATTTGACCTGACCTGTGACGTCATCAGTGACCTCAAGGTCAATGAAAGTAGGTTGCGCCAGACAGTTTTTCCGGGGCTATTAGACGCAGTTTGAATTTTGACGATCGGCCCAGTAGTTTCGGAGTTGGGAGGGTGGTATGAATAGCCCCCCCCCCCCCCCCCCAGGAGGCCTGTTATACAGACCCCAGTGGGGCGCGGGTTGAGGAAAATCCAGCAGGCGACTTTTTTCTGTTGGTAAAACGGGTAAAACCGGCCTCTGATTTTCCCCACGTTCGATGTCTCTTAGACGACGAAGATTCTACGCCGTCCGGCCATCCCGTTCAAGGTCAGCGGGGGCCCGGCTGCGGTTATGGACCACTGACATTAATAAAAGCCCTCTATAAGGTTACTATAGAGGTTAATGTTATGGAACGTGATTGGCCGGGCGACGTAGAATCTTCGTCGTCCTAGAGACATCGAACGCGGGGTATGTTTCGTTCTATGTTTGCCGTGAAAAGACATATGCAACGAATCGTGAGACGTTGGCGATGTAGCATAATGATACACACCCTCATAAGCAAAAGACAAATCAGTGGGAGCGCTTGATCTGAGAGAAAAAGTCAAGGTCCCTAACACAAAAAGTATTGAAAGTACTGTAGAAAAGCATTGGAGGAAAAATATTGAAATGACACACCCTTATACCCAATTAGATAGGTAAAGGTTTAATCTTAACCTGAGTTCAAAACAATGTTGAAATGAGTGACAATAACCTTCTACATTGTCAGGGATAGGTGGTAAGTAGGTGCCTAGTATTAAATCAATGTTAGCACTTTAACCTGACCTGCAATGCCACTGATGCCAGCCTTGAACGGACAGCTTTCAAAGAAAGCTTGCACCATCTTTTCTTCTCTTGTTTTGATGTATGGAGGAGTCAGAATAGTAGGTACTTGAATATTCTCTCTATATCTTCTTGGATTCAGCATCATGTATTTACAAACATCATCCATCTTTTCCAATGAAAGTCCATACACTGATTCAAAAACTCTTGCATCTGTACTAGTGTAATGATGTTGACCAGGAGCTTCTCTGATGTCTGAAATCATTGTAGCTGCAAAGGCACAAATTTTGGCATGTAAGGGTACTGGGTAGAACTACCATTTGAATGAGCAAAACAAAGGTAATGAGATCAACACAGAACATATGCCTTTTAAAAGTTCAAACAGCCACACAAAACATCCAAACCAAAGTCATTTTAGTCAGGGATCATGCCTACCATAATGAGGAAAAAATACCTACTCCAGTCTCCAATACAGATATCCAAGGCTGTGTCAATAAGAACACCCAAAACAAAACAAATTAGATATAGTTCGTTTATTTTAAGTTTGCCCTTCACTGTAAACGTCTTTTTGAACACAGCACAAAAATTGCTAGCTGAATTACTGAGAAAACTGGTTGGCGCACATTGATTTCACAAGAATTCACAGACGATCAATTTCATCAAATTTGTTTACCTTCTATTTCACAGACTCATAGCTTGTATTTGCCCATAGCTACAGCTTGAGCTCCACGGTCATAGCCGACTTCTCAAGAATTATGTCTGAACTAATTAATCAGTTGTACGGCATATAACATTAACGTTACATACCAACCTAAAAACTCAACAACCTAAAAACACATAAAAGAGCATACCTGTCATTTCTAATTAGCATTTAGCAGTATACACGATTTGTGTAACAACACATCTAACAGAAGCATGCAGCCACTACAGTTTTTTTCAAAAGGTGCTGGCTCCAAGTTCATTATCGAAGCTCTGAGCTCTCACAGAGTTTTGGCACTTGGCAGCTTCAGCGCCTGGCCAATAATTTCTTACTGAAAAGAATATTTGATTTTAAATTGTGCACAATAAGTACCTACCCAGAAATTGTTCATTGAAAAAATTAACATACTATGATGATGACGTCACTGGAGGCAGCAGGCACCCAATGTCGGTACAATGGGACAGTGTCAACAAATTTGGGGGAAAATTTGTTTTTCGCTGTTGCCGAGGTTATATTCAAGTAAGCGGTTCCGTCCATAGTTTATATGTTACATTGTAATACAAGTTTGACAGCATGACGTCACCACTGTTCTAATTTCGTCCAAAAATGTACATATTGACAGAGGCTATCCAGCTCAGAGTTTTTTGAGGGGCAAACCATAACAATTTATCGATTCTTTCCATGCCTCGTCCATAGGCGTAATGCTAAAATTATGCCGTTTGGGGGGGGGGGCAAATGCCCATTTTGCCCCCCTGGATCCACCACTGCATATTGATATAGAAATTATCAGGAAGATATCACATGTTTAAAAATCAACATTCAATTTTCTCACAGTGCATATGATTTTCTCAGGGCGCTGTTCGGCAGCCGGCTACTTTGTGTGCAGGGTATGACTCATTTCGCAAGCCGACGTCACAGGTGGTGACGTCGGCTCGCCGGCGAGCGGACTCCAACAACAAACTAACGGAAACCCTCGGACACCCTCGGGGCATAAACCGCGGAATAGCATATTGAGCGAGTCTTATAAGGGAAATTCATATATTTTCGTTCCTCAAATGATAATCAGGGTGTCTCTTACCTTTTTACGTATCATTTCAATTTGGGCTACCTAACACTTCAGTTGCCAAATATCTGCAATTTATTCAAACGAAGGTATTTTCAGTAAATATCAATGCTATAGACCGAAATCTTTTGAATAAAAACTTCAACCAATAGAATAAAAATAACTTATTTTATTCCAACCAATTCCTCCATTATTATTAATTATTCCAACATAAAACTCACTTTTACACACATCATTCCTTGCATCATTCATAATAAAGCATACTAACACGCCGCTTTTGACAATTGCGGCGTCGAGTGGCGCGCTGCTAGCGCTCTTTTTGGACAACACTATTCGACCGCCACCCTTGCAGCCATTCTATAACTCAGGAACTACTGGACCGATCGTGACGAAAACACCACCAGTCGATTCAACGTATGCAATTTCATCAGCCGATTCGAATATGGTGACCTCAGGTGACCTCGGTGACCTCGAAAGGTCAACTTTACGTTTTCGCCTATTGCAGCCATTCTATAACTCAGGAACTACTAGGCCGATCGTGACGAAAACACCACCAGTCGATTCAGCGTATGCGGTTTCATCAGCCGTTTCGAATATGGTGACCTCAGGTGACCTCGGTGACCTCAAAAGGTCAACTTTACGTTCTCGACTATTGCAGCCATTCTATAACTCAGGAACTATTGGGCCGATCGTGACGAAAACACCACCAGTCGATTCAGCGTATGCGATTTCATCAGCCGTTTCGAATATGGTGACCCCAGGTGACCTCGGTGACCTTGGGAGGTCACATGACCAATGTGGCCTGTGGCAGCCATTCTATAACTCAGGAACTACTGGGCCGATCGCGACGAAAACACCACCAGTCGAATCAGCGTATGCGATTTCAACAGCCGTTTTGAATATGGTGACCTCATGTGACCTCGGTGACCTCAAACGGTCAACTTTACGTTTTCGCCTATTGCAGCCATTCTATAACTCAGGAACTACTGGGCCGATCGTGACGAAAACACCACCAGTCGATTCAGCGTATGCGATTTCATCAGCCGTTTCGAATATGGTGACCTCATGTGACCTCGGTGACCTCAAAAGGTCAACTTTACGTTTTCGCCTATTGCAGCTCTACGCCCGTTTCAAATGACCCCGATGCGAGGGTCAATTGAACCAGCCCATGGGGTCAATTGCACCATATATCCTTTAACAATGGGATCAGGGCTGGGAAAAATGCTGAATCTGCTACATACCAGATAATACAAGAAACTCTTTATTAGCTACATTGCCACAAATGTTCCTCACATCATTTCTGCTAGAGAAAATGATTTTACAAGTAATCAAAATTCTGGACAGAGCTTTCCACTTTCATTTTCTATCTATTCTCAAATTGAGCTTTGAATGTTTTTATTTAGTTGGTTGCACAAACAAAAACAGATAGTGTCTTGCTTATGTCCCCTGTGAATGTCCTTTTTCTTATTTTTTACTCTTTGTAGGTACTCACTACTCAGGTTTAGAAAAAGCATACAAATATCAAAATAAGGTGCTGTAGGGCTTTCTCAGGGCAAGTTCCAGCACCACCTGAGAGCACCAGAGAGCTCCAGTGATCCCTAGAATTTTCCTATCAGCATTCCAGCAACTTCAGGATTCAGATTGTATCAGCCTACTCAGGCAGAAAGTATTTGAAAGAAATCAGGTTGATTTGGCTGCTCAGTCTGGTCAACAATTTACAATCATTGTGCATGCCGAGCCCGCTGTACAAAAGTTGCCAGTTGCCACCAATCAAGGTTTAGCGTTAATACAATAATTAATTGAACATGTAAAAAAGTAAATAAAAAATTCTTTTCTGGGCGTTACTTGATCAATATTTAAATCAGATCTCACCTTCTGCGCCAATCGATCTTAGGTATCTCCCTATATCTTCACACATCTTGCTTTGCGTGCTGGGCGGCTACCTTGCTCTTTAACTGTGTACTGCACGCCGCTTTAGGGACAGTTGTCATTGCAACACTTGAAATTAGGCCTGGAATATCCCACTTCCCCAAAATAGAGGCAAAATAAAAGCTAAAATAGCTGAAATAATTCAAAAACACCCAGAAACACTCATCAAACTCAACTGAACTATCCACGCGAAACGACAACTAGAATTGTCTCTAATGCGCCAGAAACAATGCATCAACAAAATACACAAGCAGCAATGACGTAATTTGCATATTTTTGACACAATTTCTCAATAAAACTTACAAAAAATGTTCATTAGTTCTTTCAAACTCTAATTTGGTTCAAATAAGTATGATTTTAACAATATTATACATTAAAAACTGAATAAAATTGTATATGACGTCATCAAAAAGGATAAAAGACGTTACAGGGCACTGTATCATAAAAGATGGCTTTTTAGAGATGCCATGGGCAGAATGAGTTGATTCTTTTCGTATTTTTATTGATCATTGAACAATGCCCCTTTAAAAACAATTTGTTTTGTTTCGTAAATATGTAATTTGAATATTTCACAAATAATGAAACTCCTTTTTGCAATATTCATAAAAAAGATAGCGCATAAAAAGGCGTAGCAGATACCTTTTGTTACACGACTCAGAGTATGAAGAATTAGTGATGCTACAATTGAAACTGCTACAAAGAGCCGCCAGATTCGTCATAAAATGGAGCACAAAGCTGACGTTTTGAACTTGTGTTAGTCTTACAGAGATGTTTTGCTCTTATTCGCCGACGAGATCACTGGCTGGTAGTACCTCTATTTTGAAAATGTGCGAATTTTGATGTTTTTATTGTATTTTTCTTTATGATGTACGGAAGAGAGAAATGTTCATTTTGCTACAATTGATGGAACAATAAAGCGATATCTGCTACCTACTGGAGTATGAAAGTATGAGAGATTTCCCAGCCCTGAATGGGATGTTTTCCTCTTTAACCCGCGCCCCACTGGGGGGGGGCTATTTATAGCCCCCCCTCCCGTTTTTCTGCAATAACTTCCAAACCGCTTGACGTATCAACGCCAAACTTTCAGTACCTTCGGCTGCATCAATTTGACACCTTGTGTCAAAATTTGAACTTCGTAGCTACCATAGGTCGGCCGGAAATGACGTCAGAGTGACGTCATGTTCGTCCGATTTCGACGCAAAACATTGAACCACGGCAATCGCTCCCAAGAGCTCAGTTTTTAAGCTAGATCCAATTTCTTTGCATGAAAGGACTCAGAATTGACCGCGCTATCAAACTGCTATCTCGGATTTTCAAAATTTTGAAAATTGCGAAAATTTTATATAATAATATTCAAAATTTATATTTTTATATTTTTTTCAAAAAGTTTTTGACTTTTCGAAAAAACCGGAACATATGTGACAGAACGCATGATTATGACTAACTCTAGCAAGTTTTAGCTAAATATCTTCAAATATGGCCAAGTTATACGCATTATTGCAAACAATTCACAATTATTAATTTTTCAAATCACTTTTTCAGTACGTATTTGACATCGTACACCAATATAAATGGGACCATCGTGTTCCTGAGCTCAAACTGCATCCAATAGACACCTTTTTTGTTGAAAATTTTAACTTCAAAATTTGACCTTTTTTGACCTGAAAGTGACCTGACCTAAGCTAAATTCGACTCAAAATGACCTCGAATGACACAGACGACATCAAATTCGAAATCTATGGCCTAAATGGACCATAAAACATGTGTCACGTGACCGACGCATGATATAATATTTTCGTGACCTGTGATGACCTGACCCTGACCTGAAAATCAAAGTACAAGTTTGGTACCCTCAAGGTATCTAGAGCATCTGTTCACGAGTGTGGAAACCAAAAATGAGCCTGATCTGACTTGTAAGACGGCGGCCAGAGCCCAAAATGTGAACAAGCCAAAGTGCTAATAATTTTTACTTTGACCTGACCTGTGACGTCATCGGTGACCTCGAGGTCAATGAAATTAGGTTTCGCTCGACAGTTTTTCCGGGGCTATCAGACGCCGTTTGAATTTTGACGATCGGCCCAGTAGTTTCGGAGTTAGGAGGGGGGGCTATGAATAGCCCCCCCCCCCCCAGTAGGGCGTGTTATACACAGACCCCAGTGGGGCGCGGGTTAAGGCCACTTTCTTAAGGATATATTTTGTCCGGTTTACTTTTCCAAATGCTACATTCAATAGGTTGTTGGAAAGCTAAAAGTGCAAAGTTCCTTATAATAGGTGACATAAAGTACATAGACTATGGTAAAATGGGCGGATGAGAAAAATGAGAAATATCTCAGGCTATAGTGTGCTTTCAAGCAAAAGGCTGGAGAAAAAGGGGTCAAAAATTGAGCTCTATTAAACTACTATTTCAGTTTAAAAGCTCATTTCAAAGGTGGACTATTTCCTTTAATGTTTTCAGCCCCTGAAGAATAACCATTGCAAAGGTCACCGGGGTCCATTGAAACGGCCTGTGGCCCTGTTTCAACTGACCCTCAGAGAAGCGTTTCAATTGAACCCATCCGCTCCCGCCATCTCGCACACGCCGTAAAGCACATGTCAAACGAGCTGGAGGGACGGCATCATGCTGAATGAAGGGCCAAATAAGGTGTTAGTCCGGAGCCAGGAGTTCTTCTTTCAGCAAACAAAGGTATATGAGATATCACAAAATATTCATAAGAACGATTTCTCCCAAACGCCCCTAAAAACACAAAAACAAGTGTCAAATCAAAATTACCGTCCGTTTGTCGCCCAAACGCCGTTGACAAAGGAAGTGGTCGAGCGCGGATGCGCAGTGGTGTCGGCAACGCCATATGTTGCATACTGTTGAAAATAAAGCCATGTTTCATCTGACCCCGTGTTTCAACTGGCCCCGCTCTCCCCTATCACACGACACTTTCATATTGTGACCCCCAGTGACCTGACCTCTGTGACCTGACCTGGTATCAGTGACCTCAGATAGCGAAGTATGTGTTTGACGAACAATGTAGGGTGAATAGGTCAAAAACGCCCCCCTTAAGCGCGAAACCTTCTGACACTCAAACAAACCTTTGGGCACCAACATGTAGCTCATTCTTTTTACTACGCTTTGAGACCAAGAAAAGACACCTGCGTGTGGTATTTAACCCCCCAAAAAGGTTTTCGCATACCCTTACAAAAGGGCGTTTTGCCCCATACCCTAAGTAATACGCCCACACCCATGTGCAAAGCGCCCCCACCCCATCCATCAACAGAAAATGATGAACATGGCAGAACTTGACGTCATTCTGACGTCATTTGTGGTCAACCTATCATAGCCTTTGGGATAAAATTTTGTTGCAATGTGTAAAATGGATGCCCGGAGGAGTTCTGAAAGTTTGGTGACGATATCCGCAGTCGTTTAGGATATATCAGCAAAAAAGGACAGGGAGAGGCCTTTTCGGCCCCGACCTACAGGGCGCTACCCTGCACTCTCACCCAAGCTCTCACCACCGTGCAAAACGCCCCCCTTTCAGAAAACTGGGGGCGTCTTGCCCCATGCATCGGGTAGGCGTCTTGCCCCATCCACTCCATTTCCGGTCAACAAAATATTGACAAAAAACGCGCCACTAACGCCGCAGCATAATACATTCAACAGAATGACAATAAAACGCAGTTTTGAGTGATGTGCGCAATAGCAAGTTCTGTGATATAAAGAGGGCATCAAAATCTTAGGAATCTTCTGTAAAAACAACAAAAACAACACCCAAAACCAACATCAGCACCTACCCACGCTGCTCCTCAAGACGCAGAACCGGAAATAGAGACCTACGTAAACAACCCAGTAAACATGCCGACGTCGGCCCGACGTCGGCCGACGTCGGGGTGACGTCGGCAACTCGGCGTCAGCATGCCGACGTCGGCCCGACGTCGGTCCAACCTCGGCACGACGTCGGCTGGATGTCGGATATGCCCGCATGTTCCGACGTCCAGCCGAGGTCCAGCCGACGTCGGGCCGACGTCGGACCGAGATCAATTGCTGAGGTCCAGCCGACGTCGGGCCGACGTCGGGGCGACGTCGGACCGACATCGGCCGCTGTTTTGACCGTTAAAATAATATAAAATACATGTTTCATGTTTCATAAAGAGCTTCTGTATTCAAAATATCCTCAGGAAACTCAAATCTTCCTCCACGCCGCAACCCCCTGATCCGGACTGGACGGGAAACTTTATCCCATTTGGGATTGCCCGTAAGCCGAGCTCGCCCGTAGCCGGGTGCGGTGAGTGCTTGGGGGCTGCTCAGTGCTCGGCCTATCCTTTGGTCAGGCTCAGCCCCGGCAACTCACCAGGGCCGGGCCCAGTTCATATAGAAAGGCCAGTCGGCAAGTGTCAATTTGCCAAAGTGCCACTTATCAAAGGGACACTTTGGGAAACGTTGGTGCAGGTGTGTAAGAGTGGCTATATGAATCCATTGTGGGGTCGCCCTTTCCAATAAGTGTCACGTAACAGCAATGGGACCAGGGACTCTACATATATGAACTGGACCCACGGTGCTCGCCAAGAAGACCAATGTCTCCATCCTATGATCCTTCCGGCTCTGAAATGGTCTTGTCAGACCGAAAGGGCATAACCCAACAAAACAAACCAAATTCGCTAGCTGGTTGCGTGGTGTAGTGGTTAGCGCACTAACCTCGCATTCGAATGACACGGGGTTCGAATCCCATCGCCAGCTGATGCTTTTGGCGTGTTGTCCCAGTAAACATGCCGACGTCGGCGACTGGGGGGCTCGAAGCCCGCCGCCGGTTGATATTTTTGGCGCGTTGTCCCAATAAACATGCCGACGTCGGCCCCGTCGGTCCAACGACGAACGATCTCGTCAACCTCGGCAAACGATCTCGGCCCGACGTCGGCTGGACGTCGGCTGGACTTCGGCTGGACGTCGGAACATGCGGGCATATCCGACGTCCAGCCGATGTCGGGCCGAGGTTGAACCGACGCTGGGCCGACGTCGGCATGTTTACTGGGAAGCAGCTGACTGTTCTGAAAGACAGGATAAAACACCTATCGGTCGATAAGAAATACGATTTTTTAGGGGAGGCGTTTAACCCAGGGGTGCGTTTTCCCCACAGTTACCCTACCATCGATGGTTTTCAATAACTTACCAATTTACTCGATTTCACAACACTTTTCTTGAAATGTCTGTGAACGGTAACAATCTGACCTTTGACTAGAACTGTGACGTCATCGGTTTGACCTAGGTCAATGAAATTTGGTCACAAGGTAGTTCCCTGGTGGGGCTATCGAACACCGTTTAAATTTTGAAAATCGGCTGGTAAATTTCCGAGATCTTAGGGCCCTCCCCCCTACGGGTGGTAGGGTCCGCCGGTAGCCCTACGGGGCGCGGGTTAATCATGACATTGCTGCAAGTATATACCTACTATCTTGAATGGTTTTTAGCACAGTTTTGAGAGACATTATGAATGTCTCTTATGGCAGGAAGTGGCAGGAAGTGTCCATGCTGTGAGGCAGGGTTGCATGGGAGATGTCATGAAAAGAATGTGGTGTACCAGATGGAATGTCAACTGTGCGCACAAGGCGAGTCTGTGTATGTCGGTGAAACACGCCGATCTGTCAGGCTTAGATATAATGAACACATGAGAGATGCAAAAAACAACAAACTAGACACCCCTTTTGGCCTTCACCAAACGAAACACTCTGTGCAACTGGACTGCTCAAACGTCTCAATCAAGATTCTGCATGTGTCAAAAGACGGCCCAGATAGAAAAATTTGGGAATCCATTTTTATTCGCGAACTTCAACCCACTCTTAACACGCAAACCTCGTCTTGGCCTATCATCTGAGTGGTCATTATATCTAAACTGACTGACCGTGGAAACTTGTGTGCGCGGGTGTGCGCCGTGCGGCTGTGCTGTTGTACACTTCTGTTATCGCATGCATGCATGTACTTACCTCATATATGCTTATCTCCATGTTTTTAATGTTGGTCGGGGGGTCGGGACCCATTATTGATGATGTACTCACGATATATACTATCTCCGCTGAACGTATGACTCATGTTTTCGACATGACTATCTTGTTCTGCACTTCAAGATAAATCTTTTATGTCTCTGTAAGTTTTGCATAGATGCGTTTTTAAAGAGTAGCTGGGAAGTGCGTGTGTGATTTCTGCATGTTCGTACCAATTCGAATTTTCTGTTCCATGCAAGTTTGTGACGAAAATGATCTAAATAATACATAACGGTTGATAAAGGCGCAAAGCCGAAAGCTCCCAAAACTGTATTTTGTCTTTTTGAAATTGTATATCTTTTGGCTAATATGAGAGTAAGGTTAATACCTCTTATTATATACCTACTACCCGATTAGGGACCACATAAGCCAATCACGGGTCCATTTAGGCCAATAAAGGCACTTCAGGGGACTTGAAGAGGCCATTCAAGAGTCGTGGTGGCATAGTTGTCTGGCCTGCGGATATGATACATCCTGTTGTTTTGATGCAACAAATTTCATTCTCCTTCACCCACACCTCGCACTCCCTGGCTAAGCATGAGTGACCCACTTTTTCACAGTTCAGACACCAGGACTGACATTCCCCTTGATGCACCTTTTTGTATTTGTTTGAAATGGACGCACGCTAGCGGCGTCTGAAGTTGCAAGCACCTGACCCGTCATTTTACGACATAGAAAATGTCACGACGTCTGACAATTATAGGGGAAGCGGGGGGAACACCGCCACTGTGGGAAACACCGCCACCCCATCTGGCGGCGAAAGTATGAAATGTGAAGTGTAAAAATCCGTTATTTCCTATTAACCGCACGAAGGTAAGCGTCTTCTGATTTGTGTTCCGATGTTTCAGTGTAATCGAAGCTCAATGTGGGCATTTAAAGAAAAATGCACATTCTCTTATAAAAATTCGATGAGTTGGGAGCACTTTTGAATGTCTTAAAGTAGAGACTCGTTTTGATTTACTTAATTACAACGAAAAATAACTGATCGGCTTTGTCCAGTAAGATAGGTTTGCTTGAACCGTGTAGTACATTCTTGCCGCTGGCGATTTTTGCTTGTGATCACTTATTGGGGAACACCGCCACCCCGTGGCGGTGTTACCCCAATTGAGGTTGCGGTGTTTCCTGTTCTTAGCGTGATAAGTGATGAAACTCCAAAGACACGCTTTATTATGTTCGTAGATGTTGCTAAGTCGGGAATAAGCAGCTTATTTGATTTTCTTACTTTATTTTTCATGCATCCCGACCAAGCACTTGCCAGTTGTATATACCTGGCAAACAGCTGATGAACCTATACCTATTTAGGTGTCCATTACCGATTATTTGCGAAAATTACCACTTACCTACAGGAAACTCATCGCACGCGATCTCTGAACAATTAAAAGCTTTCGTAGGAATGGGTTGGGTTAACATCAACACCGGTGGCGGGGTTACCCACACAATTTGTAGGCGGCAAATATGCAAGGTATTTTTAAAAGTCGTGATACATGAAAACCTTTTAGGAGCATGCAAAATAAGTACCTAAAACACGTGAGAAAATGTTTAAATATTGTAACCAAGACAATAACTACCAAGAGACTTCACACATATTCTCTCATTTTGGCGAAAAGCTTAGGGGGGCGGTGTTACCCCCGCTTCCCCAACACGAGGCCGGTTTTGACAAAAATATGAAAGCTATGTGATTTCAGATGCACCGAGCATTTCTTTGGTTGGCCATATAACGATTTAATATAACGATATACGATAACGATTTGGCCACTCGTGAACCCCATTTGCATCACTGAGAAATCGAGGTGACACTGATTGTTAGTTTTGAATGAATGTGTTAAATATAAAAGATGTGAGATGAGATGAGATGAGATGAGACGAAATGAGATGAGATACCTAAGAAGAGACCAGTGACAACGATGCCCGAATACCCGTTGGCAGGCTCGCCCTTTGGTGTTGCCCGTTGTCAGTTAGGGCTGTGATCGCCCGGTCATTGAGCAGCTATCCACAGCTGAAGCTGGGTCGAGCCCGGAGCCGATATCAAATACTCTGGCTCGAGAAGTGAACACGAGCCAGAATAAGCTGTTGAAAATGTATTCATCACCGATCCTCAAGGGCAGGACGAATTACAGCAATGTTTCACAGCAGGACAATCGCGCCCGGGTTTATATTGATCTGCTCTGCGTCATCGTTGAAAGAAACTGACTAGGCTGATCTTCAACGACATTAAGCACTACTAAGGCCTTTGGCGACAAGCTCTACTTGCATTTGTTAAAATTGTGCGTGCCTACCACGTCAATAAATCGATTTATATGACTGCCGTCTTCAATTGACGGTTCGAACATGGCGAAGCACCGCGCTATTACGTAGCCCTGCCAAAGCATCATAAGTGTCGCGAGCACTCACAAACATCAGAAATCGAAAACGCCAGCGGAAACAATCAGGAAGACGACGTAAGGTAGATCATGGCAGTGAGGTAAGAGCAGTTGGGTAGCATTCATTTAGTAATTAGATGATAGATGAGTATAATCATCCATTGGATAGACTCTGTAGGTAAACTCTCATAATCAGCTTAGTACGACGCAAACCACAGCAGCATCATAGATTATCGATTCACATGCAAATGTTGGCTTACGAGCAAATACAATCAAGGAAGTTAGGAGGTTTCAAAACTAGTCAATGTCTCGACATTATTTTGTCATCAATTAGTAGTTAGTACCAGGACAGATACCTAAAGAACAATTAACTTGAGCATACCACCCAGCATGACAACCAAACTCGTCACAGAGCAGTAATGTCCTCCACACGCTGTCATGCCGCCGGTGTCAATAAATTGATTGATATTTGATACCCAACAACACACACAAGCACACAAATCCGACTGATAGGTAACATCCGCAAGCAAGGAGGGACAGACTGGCATGGCTAAGAGTATACAACGTAGAATAACGCTGGTGACTTTGAATACGATAATGAACTTTTCGCCTTTCCAAAAAGCAAATGGACAAAACATTCGAGACATGGAAGCCCTTCATCGGGCCGCATCACGCCACGACACCTTCGTGCACTTCAAGCAAGCCTACCAAGTGTTCCCCTGCGGATAAACTAAACCCATTACAATAATTCAAGCTTCCTTCGGAATGGCGATAAATGTACAATTAGGCACAATATTTCGGTATCATAGATCGACATCTCGCCACTTCGATCCATGAAGGACAAATCACCCCCGTGACCAGTGGTACGCTCCTGTCCAACCATTGCGCTAACTCCAATCACTGTGCGGTGTAAGGCATGTCGTCCGAAAGGACAAAAATCATCACTAAAAACGGTCATGATGTCTTTACATCCGCAGAAGGATGTGTAAATCTGCCGCTCACCATACACGCCTAAGCGAAAACCAATAGCCTAGCTTTAATCGGTCAGTCAACCTATTTTCATGACAGCACTGTGTGTCAGCACCTCCATTTTCTGCACCTTTTTACAAAACATATCGACGACACTTTGCTCAGATGAATATTAGCAACCAGGTGACTGTTCTTCATCTAGCATTCACTAACCTTCAAAGATCCAAACATCAGCACGAAATAGTGACTCACATGGCATTATAGTTGGCCAGTAGGTGGCCAAACCCGGGAAGCCTGGAGCCGGTGCACTCTCAGCTCAGCCGTTCCGGGCCCCTCGGCAAGGGGAAGCGTCGCCGCGTATCACAGCTGGTCTGAAAAGGCCAACGGACATCTGACCTTGCGTCGTCTGCCGGTCAGTGCTTACACTTGGAAAGGGCTCGCGGCTTGGGCGGCTCGGCGGCCCGGCAGCGCTCCTGAACGTCCGGCAACGCCATCTGGCGCCACACCTCGCGCAGCTCGTCGGGCGACACCTTGTGCGCCGAGACCACGCGCAGGAACTCGCACGGGTCCAGTTTGCGTTTGACATAGCTGAAGCCGGCGTGGTCGGTGGGCAGCACGCCGAGCCGGCTGGCCACCATGCCGGTGAGAAACACGTCCTCCAGATGGTAGAGCGGCGTGCTCAGCACCTGTCGGTAGATCCGCTCGGCGATCCGGTAGCCGAGCACGTAGCCCGTGCCCGACACGTACATGGGAAACCGCGGCCGGGCGTACATGTACCTCGGAGAGTAGTACTTAGAGAACTGGTCGTGCACCACCACTGCGTTACAGATGACACAGCCCAGAATTAGATCTGGTGAGGCATGCTTGTCCTCACGAAGGTACGAAACCAAATTTGGAACGTTGATAAACATGTCTTCGTCGACTTTCAGTATGAAGCTCGGATTGCAGCTCACAGTAGCCCACTTGAGCATCATAACGCTCTTGATGGTGAGGTTGCTGTAGACATCGACGAAGTCCTGCTGGACGATGTCGCCGTGGACCTCGTTCTCGGCACGTAAGTTGTCTGAGAGCGAGCCGTTGGCCGTGGTGCCCACCAGGAAGTGCAGTCGGACGTCGGCCGGCAGCGCGTCCCGCGCGCCCCACGTCTGCCGAATGGCATCGCGGGCCTGGCGGCACACATTCACAGCGTCAGAGCCAGTCACCTAGTGACGGATTTGGAGACCACAGAGTAGCACATCGTTTGCGGAGCGCAGCCACCCCAGGAGAACTGGCGAATCGCCCGACTGGCCATTGTCCATCCAGAGCACATCAGTCATAAAAAGTCACTCAACATGTGATTTGGCAAGAACGTTTGCAGCAGCGGAGGGAAGGGAAGGTCAGCTGTTGGTGGTCACGCGTTACGACTAACCTTGCGTTCGACATCCGGAAAACGAGGGATAATTTTTCGGGACCACCGGTAATTATTTGGTATTGCAGGGACCATGGATGCAATTAATCACATTTTAGAATTTAGATAGTTTTTGCTTTACGAACGGCTGTTTTATCGTTGCAATGTTTGTTGTGCACGGTGACAGCCTAAAACACCGAATGATCCCGGTGATCCCGGAAAATTATCCTTGATTATCCGGATGTCGAGCGCACGCTCAGCCCACCGCCAGCAGAGCACGGCCGGGGCGGGGGGGGGGGGGGAGGTAGGTGGTGGGCGCGCCGACAGCTGGTGACAGTGTCCGTAATTCACAGCTGCGTCCCCCCACGCCGACAGTAGATAGGTGGTCGATAGTGAGGCGCGGCCGCCTCTCTATCGGGGCCTATCTGGCGGCCTGTGTAATCAGTGCCAGCAATGGGGTCAGTGAAACGCCGGCTGGACAGCGGCCGACCGCCCGACCGCCGCGCCACGCTGGCACCGGGAACCGCCGCCGCTCACCGCTGAGTCGCGCTCACTGAACGTCACAGACAATATCGACTGGCAACCAGCATTGGACTGGCGTATATTCCAATACACAACGCGAATGACTGGGGCGGGGGGCTCTACAGAGCCCACTGCAACTCCGAAACTTCGGTCTCTATTTTCAAAATTATTGTTGATGTCAGATGACTCACAATTCAGGTCAAAGAAAACAAATGTCAACTCTTATGCATTTTCACAGTCTGGGATCTAGCGGGTGCTTAACAAATCGCATCTCGCTCAACTTTGGTTTGCTAGCTTTTAGGGACTAAGGTTTGGTTAAAGGGACCCTCCCACCTTCAAAAAAGTTAATGAATTGGCATGAAAGTGATGTCCCTTGGTTCAGAAAGAGCGAAAACGAATATCTACCAAATTTCACCGAAAAATATTCACTGGTTTTCAAGATATTAGGCTTTTACTTTTGGTTACTTTTTGGAATCTCCCCTGTTACTAGCGACTTTATTTGGAAGCAATAATTTGGCAGCCTTAAAGTGCGGCAGACGTTGCGCGCAAAGCAGCGTATACCACCACGTGTTAACGATGGTTTTAGTCTAAGATTTAAAAATCGTTAGATCTTCGCTGACGTCACAAATTCTAAGGGGGCATTCCAATGCATTAGCCCCTTAGAATCCGAAAACTGCAAGTTTAAAATTCCATATCTTCGAATTAAAGCATTTTTCGATGTTGTGAGTGCCCAAACCGGTATTTGCAGGCCATGGCCACCAATTTCGCTATCTCAACTCAAAACTAATGTTAAGGTGGGAGTGTCCCTTTAAGCCTCGCCCGTATAGGGAAGGGGGTCGAACGGACTTCGGTTTTTCACACACAAAAAAAAAAAAAAATCGCGTGAAAAGCGGCCGATCGCGACGAAACTTTCAGTACCATCGAGTTAATCAGTTTCACATCACACCTACCATTAAAATTACATGATCCTAACCCAAATGACCTTTGGCCAATGACCCATTTCTCGAGACCATATTTGGCCAATGACCTATTTCTCGAGACCATTATTGGCCGGAATCGCGATTCAGCGTATGTCGGCTCGCATGAGCCGCGCGTATTGCAGTCTTTTTGTGATTATTACCTAACGTCTAAACATGTGAAATGATGTTGCTCCCACGCATTATGGTGGGTATCAGGGTCACCCAAAGGTCAGGTCAGGTCACTGACCTTTGATGACCTCGGTTCACTTTTTCGAGTTTTACATGTTTCTAGGCTAGTTTTTGCAGCCGCTTTCGAATTTGGCAACCATTTGAACATTTACGAAGTAGTTTTGGTGCCTTCGTAACATGTTACGAAGCTTTTAGTAGTGGTTGACACCTACTATGCATACCCGGCACGACCCCTACTGGGTGACCTGACCTAACCCGACCTTGCCTAAATGCATGAAGTCATCATCTGTGATCAAAACTAGCATGATATTCGTGAATGTTATGGTTTTTCGGGGTGCTGATCGCGATTCGTGATCAGCACCCCGAAAAACCATTACAGCTTTACATTACGGAGTTATGACAGGTTCCGATTTTCCCGACTTTTGGGTCATTGACCAGACTTGCAAGGTCAACCGATGACCTAGGACCTTAAAATTGGATATCATCGGCTTCCTCTCGTCACGGGCAACACGCTCGTATTTTCCGCGAAGCTCTAGCTCGATCAGGGGCCAAACGGCAGGGGGCAATGGACCTCCTACGAGCATATGTTCGCGGCTGGCAAAACACCAATACGGACGAGGGTTAATTTTTTTCTGTTGGGTTAGGCCCTTTCGGTCCAATGGGACCATTTCAGAGCCGGGAGGATGATAGGATATACAGGGTGGAAAGTAATTACGCGAACATACTTTTTCGTCTTATAACAATGGAAAAAGCGGCGGTAACATGAAAATTTCATCTTTTCATATATTCCTATTTATGTGCGATACACTGACAAAGGCGTTCAGGCATAATTGACATGAGCATGTCAAGCACTGTTGGCCAAAGCTTAGTCCACGCCTCCTGGAGCTGTCTGGTGAGGCAATCGATGTTGGTGGCTACTAGCAGCTCTTAGACGCTCTCCTGAAGAGTCGCCTGGATATTTTTGATCAAATTGAGGTCTGGGCTATTCCCAGATTGACCATTATATGCCCAGAAGAAGAACGGGTTCTCAAAGCACCAGTCTTGCGTCTTTTTGGCCGTGAGAGGAAGGACTTTATCAATCATGAAGAAGAGTTTCTTTGCGTCGGGCACAAAAGTGCGCTCAATCATTTTGCCCCTTTTGGTGCATTGATGGATTAGATAAAGAGACTCGTCTGGAAGGATGTTCCACTAGTTGTATACTTTATTTTTGGTGGCCTTGTTGGTCACTACATGCAATTCTGACACCATCCGGGCGCTCATAACACGCTGATGTGTGTTCCTTTGCCGGATGTTTGAAGGTTGGGACGGGCGGGACGTCGGACGCATCAGCAGCCCCCAACGCGTTGTTCTGCAGGTTTGACGGATGAAATAGCTTCGAAGATGTCTCACCCAACCACAAAGCCAGCTGCCTGTCCTCCTCTGTTCAGGTTTGGCGGTCTTTAGAAAACTTAAATTGACAATCCTGCTGTTAATTCATGAATTTTAGCCATCTCGATTGTTTGTACGGCTTGATTTTCGAATTTTCACGGATTTATGCATGAATCGTGATATCTTAGATCGGGTACCCGGCCAAAGTAAACCATTTCGCCTGTTTTCGGGTCGACTGTTGTCGTTTGGTCGCGGAAATGGTGACCACCCATTCGGCGCCTGAATTCGCCGAGGTTTTACTGCCGCCAACGGCTTTGCTTTTTAAGTCCTCTTAAGTTTTCTTATGCTTCAACCAAACGTGTAATTGAGTAATGCTGGTGCCGAGACCGTTCCGAGTCCCTTCCGCACCAATCCAGCCAAAATAATCACAAACGCTTTCCCTGGCAACTTCAAATTGAGCTCTTTGCCCATTTTGGTCTTGAGCAGCGTATGGCGTCAGCACCACTCGAAGCCGAGAGGTGTTGTAGACCTTCCAAGTCATTTTTCAAAGTAAGGTCACTTTTGTTAGATGAGGCGACAACAAACACGACCAGTCATGTTCCATAACAGCCCGCGCTCATACAAAATCTCCACTGACGGGCGAAATTGTAAGAAAATACATGTTCGCGTAATTACTTTCCACCCTGTAGGGGGAGACATTGGTCTGGGCAGGCACCCTAGTGAGTCACCGGGGCTGAGCCCGTCCAGAGGACAGGCCACCCAGCCCCAAGGTACTCACTGCACCCGGCTACGGGGTGCGCTCCCTCGGGAGCAGCGGTGCCGCTCCAGGGGAGCAGCCCGCATGAGATAAAGTTGCCTGTTCAGCCCGGAGGGGGGGGGGGTTGCAGCGTGGAGGAGAATTTCAGTATCCTGAGGATAGAAGCACGGAACGGTGACGAGGGTTAAGATATCCTGCGGGAGCCAAACCAGTACTTGGTGTGGCTGAGGATACACTAGATCACAAAAGGCCACCAAAATATGAAGGCATAAATAAGCCCTATGACATGCGTTTTATGGGGTCCACTTTGGCCAGAGCCTTTGTAAACTGTCGTACTTATGTGCCGTCCCAGGGCATTCTCAGCTGATTATAATGATAGTCAATTAGGACCGTTAGGACCAAGGACCAGTTTTTTAAGCTGCAAAGTGCAATCCCAGCGGGCGCGGGCCTACCATGGCTTACCATTGGGATGTATGCATCTGCACAGTTCTGAGACCGAATTACAGCACCACGAGTTTTCCGTGCCCTCGGTGGTGCAGGACAGGGTAAAACATTTTTCCTCTGACACGGCGTCGGCATTAGCCACTGCCGCGCTCCGTCTGCAGCGGATCCCGCCGTGGACCGACCTGGAAACTCCTGATGGCCGACATGACGACGATGAGCAGCAGCGGTCGGCACGAGTCGACAGCGTGCCGGCGCGGCGCCAGCAGCGTGGTGTTGCGGCCCGGCCGCACGTAGTGGCTGACGTTCCTGTCGACCGTCGGGCCCCAGTCGAACAGCGGCACTGCCAGCGGACGGGGGCGTCACCACACCTCCGACGAGCACACAGACCAGCAGGACGATCCCGACACCGCAGCCAAATCACACAAGCGCCACTGCCATAGCACACACCGAAAGACAAGAGACTGAGAGTAACTAGCTACCTTCCTCCTCAGAAACAAATATCATCGTGATTTTCCGAGCTTTCAGAGCGGAATTTAATGGGAGTACAGGCCCCAGCGTTCCTTGAGATGCATCGAGATCGCAGATCCTTCGCTCTGATCCACGCATGGCACACAATGCCCATGCTGTTGTGTGTAATGCGATGATATATTGTGTCTGACCACCTTGTCTCGTGGTCAGACTTAGATGTCCACATGAGTCATGAGTTTGCCATTCAGTTTCACGGCAGCTCAATCTACAATAACTACATAATGCATGACCTGAGAGCCGCGCTGCTCAAACAGAAAGTGCCAGACACGTCGGCCGGGGAGGTTCAGGTCAATGACCTGCGGTCCGCGGCGCAGGCCGCGCTGGTCAGCTCGGCCAGCGCACTGCAGTGCATCTGTATTCCGTATGCCGACTATTAGCGGTGCAACTGTTTGTCTAGTTCTCTCCGGCGTCACTGTGACCGTGCCGTTTCCTCTGCTCGACACTGAGGACGCGCTCGACCTCATTCCGTGTCATATGAGCCCGCCACCAGGTGACGCCAGGCCAGCGGCAGGTAGGCCATGACGTATGAATGACAATTTCTTCACAGTCGACTGGCAATAATGAATTGAGTATGCATCATGCATAATGCATGACCCATATGGTTGCCACAAACCTCTCCGCTACAGCCTGGCTTCGAAAGATGTATGTACTCTGCACGCGTATGTTTGTTCTAGCGCCTTAGGCACAGAAGGTAGGTAACTGCTAACAGGACAAGCGAGGACCCGTTTCTATTTTCAAGTATGACTTTTTTCATAAGTGACGGCCGACTAACATTCTAGCAAAAGGGAAGCGTGGGTGAATTGTAGGCGACAGGGACAAGTTTTATCAGAGCGTTTTGTGTCACACTTGTTATAGAAGTGGCGCTCCCCAAACAACCAGCTGATGCAGGCTGCCGTCATTCCTGAAAGAGATCAGGCTCGTTGAGCGCGCCTCGCGCTGAGAGGAGCTATTCTTTTTCGAGCATCATTCTGCACCAGTCCTTTCCAGGACATGCGCTTTTACGTGCTGAGACGAGCTACACTGAGAGAGAAAATTATCAGGGGTATACCAGCCCTCGACACACTGACCAGGGTTTGACCAGGTCGATACCAGGGGTCAGACTATGTGACCTTCTGGTAACACTCTAATTCCACCTACCAGCCCCCTGGTAAGGCGTTAACCCTCTAGTGCCCCCGGTATCATATCTGTAAGTCAATTTGCAGAAAATTCGCGTGCTAATCCTGAAGGCGAAAATTGTTGAAAACCCTGCTGTATCAGAAGTGGTACGTCTTGGCAACCACCTGGTGGCAAAATTTTTAAGTAATGATTTCTCAGTTTCCCACCAGGTGATTTTGAAGAGGGTCAGTTTGTCCTTTGCTGAAAAGCAATTTGAGATGCAAGTGTAAATTTTAGCATTTAAAAAACAAAAAATAGTTATTTGGAAAGAAACTTGGTATACTGTGAGACAAATGTCCAGCATTTATCACAGTACGTTGCAAAACATCGCAGCTATTTCAGGGTCAAAGATATGGACCCCTAATTTGGGGGATACTAGATATGATACAGTGGGCATAGCACTCCAATATTTTCTATGAAATTTTCGCCGCTGCAACATACGGTGTGCCAATACCATAGTTTTCTCAGGTGATAAGCATTGCAATGGCCTGTGAGTCATTGAAAATGACGATGGTACAAGATGCATAAATTTGTGAAGTTCGCACCTCTGGCGTCAGATAACTCTATTTCGCTCCAGACTCGATATTTCATAACGATATTCCTACGCTTATGCCGCCTCTCATCCTTGTCAACCACCTAACATCTAGCTGTCCATGAGTGGCCTTACGTGCCTCATACATCTCGACTTTTCTAACGCTCATAGGAATCTGGTTTTCCAACTGTTTGACGATGATAACAGTGAACTTTTTGATCTGCAGGACACTAGCAGACCATATCTTCTAAAACCACGTTAGGAATGACATGCCATCGATGACAAGCTTGTTGATTTCAAGGGACGATCATCCGTGCAAGCATTTATACTCGTGAAACCAAAAATTGAGACTTGACTATGTTTGGGAAAGGAGGATTCAGCGGTCTCTTGCACAATTTCGATATTCCAACAGGGTTTGTGGACGGGCTTATGTCTTGTGGGTCTATGTCTTAGCTGGGCATGGCCGAAGACTTGCATTAGCAGCCAGCCAGCATTTTTCATTCATATTGGAGAACGACTCACAATTTGTTTGCGATTCAAATCCCCTCCGTTCATCCCAGTAGTAAGAGATTGAATGTGGAGTGGAAAACTTCACCGTTATCGTCAGAGGAAGCTAGCTAAACGGACTCGCCATGAAGACAGACGTCAAGACCGAAGGACGTGGTTCCTTTGATTTACGTATCCAAGAAGTAGGCAACCATGCACTGCTGCCAGGATCCAGCAGGTGCCTGACACCTGGCAAACATTTTTACTGCCAGGTATGTCATTTGTTGTCATATATTGACATATGCCGCCAAGTATGGTAGCTGATTGCCACTGAACAAATAGGATTTATACTAAAACATGGACACTGACCATAAGAATACAAGTTAAAGTGCGGCATTGCGTACGCTCACCTCCATATGAGGTCAATGAACATTGTGCAAGTTCCTGCCGATCGGTACACAGTTACCTGTACCTTTGTTGTCTGACACGTACAACGGTTACTGCACTGGTCACTGGTCAGTGCGCGGCTGTTGTACTGACGCCGATGACATGAGGACCGCACGACCAGTCAAAGTGCTAACTGACGATTCACAGGCTGAGAGTTTCAGTCACCAGGGATTGTCCGGCTATCGTGAAGATAAACCAACATCGTCTTTGGCATTGATTCCGGTCCGTCGGCAGGCTGTCCAGCATTTTGCATCAGAACTGCTTCACTTCGACCACTTACCGACCAACCGTAATGTCTTCATTTTTGTATCAAGTATGTATAATGCACGTTTGAGAAGCATGGCCCACATGTCTGAATTATGAAAAAAATGCACAAGTGCAACGCGCTGTATCGTGGAAATTAAAGGAATAGAAGGCACTCGTAAAAAGATGCCTATGATTAGCGTTGTTCCCTTAGTACCGACTGAAAGGGCATTTTGATACAAGAAGATGCCAATGAAATATTAAGAAAATGTTCTGATAAGTGGCGCACAGTTAAGGATTTCTTGTTTGCATTTTACACATTTTAACTGCCGCTTTTATCTCTGAAATTTTTTCAAAACATATATCTCCTCATCTATGTCTTCACTTCCTTCTGTGTGGTCTGATACCACTAAAAATAACCAAGTGGAATGCCCAATGTATCATATTTGATACACAAATTATTTCCGAAATTTGAACTGCGAAAAAATTTTTGACTTCAGATTTCGAACAAGGGACCCAAAATGAATCATAGGTCACAAGGTGCTAATTTTAGGAACCGTGGAACTATGTGTGGGCATTAGAGGGTTAATGTCCGTTCACATGCGACCATGCACCCCAAGTGTCACTTTAGTTTCTGCCAGCAAAAGCTACCACCCATGCCCACGGTCATAACTGAAACTAAGGGGTTACTAGGGGTCACGCTTTCAGTGGCCCTGGTAATGCTTTAGTCACGGTTACCAGATTGCTGAATCATGTTAGCAACTTTCCATTGCCCCGTAGACTATGTGCTTCAAATAAATTGTTGAGCCTATTTTTTTTTATAAATTTAGTCCGAACCTTTTGATAGGAGGGATTCACAAGGACAGAGCCACCGCTAAGCGAAGCTTGTTACGGTGACCCTGCCCTCTACCCTCCGATCGCGCAATTCCAGTTCTATGGCAGAATTTAGAGTACAAAGTTTAACGTGCGCACATTAGCCGCGCACGGCCGGTCCCCTCACTGATTTTGCCTGGCTACGGCCTGCCACCAACCGCAACCATACCTGTCAGGAGGCCCATAAATGTCAAGCGCCCGTCGCGCTTCGAACCCGGGCTGTTATAACCGGGAACGCGTGCTCTCACCACGCGGAGTCCAACGCTCTAGCAGCTGAGCTACGGGGCTGTCATTCATTTGGAAGATGAATGACATTTATATTTTTATAAGTCAATACAGCTATATTTCCGGTTGCCCTAATACTTTTTTTAATCGTTTGTGGTAAGTTTTCATTCCTGGCAACAAAGTTGCTCGCACCTGTGAAGCCTTCACGTAAACGCGTTCCCGGCTTGCGTTTTTCCGTCGCCATTTGCGCCATGTGCCGTGCCGCGTGCGGTCGGGGGCGAGTGCGTTGTTGATCATTGGGCAAGTCTGTATCGTTATTCGTTTTCATTTGTGCGAAGAATTGCTTGCCGATATATGATCTGCAGTGATCGACGTTCTGATTCAAGAACTTGCCATAAGCCAATAGCCATTATTCTCAACTCAAGCGCGCAGAGCTGGCAAATTCGCAAGCGCTATGTCACTACAACTAGGTAGTTATGAAAAATTGTTTATCGATGTATGATCTGTAATGACCGACGTTCTGACTCTATAAATTGACATTATTCTCAACTCCAAATCGTGCCGAGACGTTTGCGAAGCTGTGAAGGGGGAGGGCAAGAGCGATTTCGAATTAATTGCTTCCAAGCAATGCAACAGGCCTTGTTACCGATTATTAGCGCCCCTTTGGGGCTTTCTCGGCAATCGATAGAACAAGGTCGCCACGATCGGCGCTGACTGTTTGGTAAAGTCCGTCAGCTGATCGGCACTCGGCTGCCGGAGATGGTTGGGGAATCGAGTTTGTGCGTCGTTGTGGCAGTGTGCGCTGCGGCTGTGTGCTGTTTTTTTTTTTGCAGGGCCTGTGCAGTGACCTG